CTTCCATTCCATGTATTAAGTTTTGACTTCATCACTTGTATTTTATCTAAAATGTTATTTTTGATGTGAATTTGTTCATTATATGTAAAACAATATCCAAGGGCTTTAGCTTGTTTAACTGTTTTTAAGTCATTGATACTATCATTTTTGTTTTTTGCATTTCCTATCCACATCAGCTCAGATTTATTTTTGTTCAATTTAAGGCCAGAACAAACTTCGAATTTTTCTAAGATTTTCATTATTTCTGTAACAGATTCTTCATTCTTAAGTATAACTGTAACATCATCGGCGTACTGACATGCCTTTATTTCCTGATCTTGAATTGTAACACCCTGAACATTTGTATTTCGTTTCACTGCAAGGCAGAGAATCTCAATGACCATTATAAAAAGTAATCCTGACAGGGGGTCGCCTTGTCTTACTCCTCTGTGAACTCTAAAAAAGCTAGAGGACTCACCATTATTAATGACACAACTGTTTGAATTTTTATATATACTTTGAAAAAAATTAATGAAAATATTGCTAAATCCAAAGGCTTCCAATGTTTTTTCAATAAAATTCCATTCGACAGAATCGAAAGCTTTTTGAAAGTCTAAAAATAATAGAAGACCTTTTTGATTATTGTTATTTGTGTAATCCATAATGTCTTTGATGAGCCTGACATTTGTCCCAATAAATCTATTCATTACGTATCCTGTTTGTTCCGGGCTGATAATCTTTGGAAGTATTCCTCTTAATCTCTGTGCTAAAATTTTTGTTAACAGTTTATAATCACAATTGAGTAGTGTTATGGGCCTCCAGTTTGCTAAATTATGTCGATCTTTTGACTTTTTTGGAATTAAACTTATAATACCTCTTTTCTGACTAGAACTTAATTCTCCTTGTACTAAAGCATGATTAAATGTGTTAACAATATCATTTTTAAGTTCATCCCAAAATTGTAAATAAAACTCTGATGGAAGACCATCTGTCCCTGGGGATTTTCCTTTCTTGAAAGATTTCAACATTTTATAACACTCCTCAAGACTTATTTTCTTTTCACATTCTAGTTTGTCAACATTGTTAATTTTTGGTATATCTTCTTGATTTAGAAACTCATTTGTAACACGTTTGATCATATTTCTATCTTTATCTATGTAAGATGTATAAAGATTTTGATAAAATTCTTTTTGGGCTGTTAATATATCTCTTGGATCTGTAATTTCATTCCCATTAGCCGTTCTCAACTTTGTTATTACTTTATTAACAGAATTAGATTTTTCCAGGTGAAAAAAGTATTTCGATGATTTTCCCCTTCTTCATACCACCTTGCTCTACTCCGTATTATACTTCCTTTTTTTGTGCTCTTGAATCATTTCTAATTTTAGTTTCAATTTGTTCAAATTGTTAATATTTTCCTGGGATGATAATCTGTCAACTTCAATTTGTGCTAAATCAGCATGCTTAAGTAGTCTCTTTTCTTCATCTTTTCTTTCTTTTGCTCTTTTCTTAGAAAATTTTATGCTTGCTTTTCTTATTTCCATTTTCAAAAAATCCCATATAACTCTAGTGTCATCCTTTTCATTGAACATTTTCCTTGTTTCTTCTATTTGTTTTTTGATGCATTCTTGGTATTCTTTATCCTGTAGTAAGCTTGTGTTTAGTTTCCAAAATCCTGGTCCTTGTTTTCTGTAATCTTTTGTTTGTAGCGTAAGAGTTGTTGCTAGGTGGTCTGGAGAAGGTGCAGTAAGTATGTCTGCTTCGATGACATCATCAAGAAAATTAGAGACAAAAAAATAGTCCAGGCGACATTGTATTTTATAAGAAGGGTTATGCCAAGTGAATCTCTCTTGTGTTGGGTGCTGTCTTCTCCATATGTCTACCAGGCTGTTGTTGACTAATATATTGTTTATTTCTTCAATGACCAGTGCTTTTTCCTCTATGCTTCTGCCCCCTTTCTTATCAATGTTCCTGAGACAACAGTTAAAATCGCCACCTATAATAATTTTATCAGATTGTTGTTGTTGTAAAATATCATCAATATCTTTGTAAAAAGTAACTTGCTGTTTAATATCATTTGGGGCATATACATTCAATAAACAATGCGTTTCATTTTCTATTTTCATATTTATTAATATAAATCTCCCATGTTCATCTGCCTTTACATTGCTAATTTCATAATCTAATCTCTTTGATAGCAGAACCATTACACCTTTACTATGATTTGTACCATGACTATAAAGACATTCACCATTCCACTCTGCTTTCCATTTTGTTTCTATTGCCTTAACACTGAATGTCTCTTGTAAAAAACAAATATCAACACACTGATTTTTCAGCCATCTAAAAATGTTTTGTCGTTTTCTTGATTTATGTAACCCTCTCGTATTCAATGAGACCATTTTAAATTTATACCCCATATTCAATCTACAGATGATTTAAATAAACCCATTCAGTATACATCAATACTCTCACTCACATATTCATTCATTCCAATCACCCTCAAATATATCAAACAAAACAAAATGAAAATGTATTACCTAAAACACAATTTTATTTATTACCAGAAGATTTCCTAAAAAAAACAAGGACAATTAAGAGATATATATATATATACAAATTGTACGGGACTTTATTTGGTCCGATATTTGAACCGACCACGCTTGAATAACATATAAACAATTGTGGTGTTTAAGTCTATGATATTTATATCATCCCTGGATGTTTTAATTAAACATCCAGTGCTGCCATAATTATCTTGACTTTTTTCCATTTCCGGAGAGCATTTTAAAAATGTGAACTGGTTACTGTTTAAAAAACTATTCGCTTTGATAAACTAGTTATTTAAACTGTGTTAGGCCTGTATATACAACATATGACATTTGGAGTTTGATAGGTTAAATTATGAAATTCACTGTCAAGTTCACTCCCTAGGATATTGTTACAGATATTCACATATATAAATATCTAGAAGCTAGACCAGATCTTTCTGAAACGATGAAAACATCAGTTTGCTTAATTTCTAAGACCTGTGCGTTCAACTGTCACGCTTAATTTGATACACACCCTGTGATGATTTTAATTTCAAAAGATACACAATATCAATAACTTCTGTAAATTGAAAAGATGTTGTAATTTATGCCAAAAGGAAATTGTAGCTTAACAGAAAAAATTATCTAAAGGTACAACCAGTTGGAAAACAAGCCCCAAAATCCCAAAATATGTTTTTATTTGTAAAGAAGCAATGTCTGATGAATAAAAATGACTTAGAATAAATGAGATCACATTGTGTATCATGATGCGTGTAATACCCCCTGGCCCCACCCACCCCCTCCCCCACATTCAGGAACCATTCAGGAATGAGGTTCTAATTCATAGACTATCTGAAAAATTTTGTAGATGTGAGAAAATGCTCATGGTCAAAGATATGTCTCTGTAAAATTACTTACCATACCATACATGGTTCTTTGCATTGTATCAAAAGAATGTCTGTGACTTAAACATTTTCAAATTTTGATTATGATTTTCTTCAGAATTTGATACTTGACTTTTTGATTAATAGCCTGACATTTGACATTGCTTATTTTGAAATTATATTATAGTTCTTCGAAATCACTCCTAAATTTATTACAGTGCTTGTCTTGATTTGTATTTTAATTGCAGTTCACTTGTAATCTTACAAATAAGTTCAATAAATGTGTCTGTACATGGAGTAGTGATACCTTTGTATGTTTGATTTTTAAAGAACATTGTGTTTCACCAACATTAGTGCCTCCATGTTCCATTGATGGAACTTTTTTGTTTATGAATATTTTATATTATGTACAAGGTAAAATACCACATTTGTTTTTAATTTTATTTTATCAAGTATTAAGGTTTTGATTACCAAGCAATCATTTGTGATAATACATTACAATTCAGGGCAATAATTCAAAGAATATGGATTATACTTATACATGTATTCCTACCAAGTTTTTTGACATGACTCTAAATATCTGAGATAGAATCACTAGTGAAAATTGATCACCTTAACATACTGTACAACAAATCTAAAAACCTGCATAGTGACCCATAAATTAGACAGGCTGACGTGAATATGTCAATAAAAGATATATACAGTGTTACTTGTTATTTCACTCTTTTGAAGTATTCCAACATTTTTATTTTCAAATTGAACCTTAAAACTTTCAAGATTATAGGCTTAAGCTGTTAAGACTTACTTCGGTCCAAAGCCTTCTCTATATTCCGGCTTTGAGGAGGAAGATTGAGCTGCCTTAGTATTATAAATATTGTAAATCATTGTGTCACACGCACAGTAAATATGGCATAATAATATGAAATATACCTTTATGTATAGATTTGAAGAACAACAGCTCACATCCCCGTCTGAATCTATTGTTATATTTGATTTCTTTAAGCGAGAATAATTTCAAATTTTATTCACGTCCAGAACCGGAAGCCATTTTTAGCTACAGCGAGAAAATTTCAACATGTTTCAAACTCCGAAATGAAATTTTGAAATATTTAAATCCAGACAAGCAACGCTTCATCCTTAATATGATTAATATTCTTAAAAATACTTATAAAATTTATTAAAAATGAGTTCTAGGTGCGTGTAGGTGCGCGTAGCACCTTTTCTAGAGTACATACGAAATCAATGAAGTTACGTCTAGCTGTAAGCTAGAGACTCGAGTAAGTTAAGACAGGCCTTATTTCTTTTTGTCCTCTTGCCCTATTTTTGGAATACATTTTATGTTCTGATGATGTTTTGAACACAGACCCTTACAAAGAATGTTGAAATAGGCTTTTGGCGGTGTACAAATGTCAACTGTTGTATAAGCAAAGTTAATTTCATTATTTCATTTTGTTTCATTATGGAGAAATTTTGTTATAGGGGATCGGGAGGGAGGGTGCCAAACAATAATGAAACTAACTTTGTTTCTCACCAATATATTGTCATCATTTTAATCTTTGTTCAATCTTTAATTTAGAGTCTGATGTATTATGATTCTATTTTATAGCATCTAAAAGTTCAGCTCGACCCGCAGTAGCAGACCTCAACCTCACAGACATACAAGTAAACAAAGACCCATCTACAGCAGCAGCCCAAGGCCCAGTCATCCCACTTGGGCCTAAGTCAGCGCCACCTTTTGTGAGCAATAAACAGGTATTTTTGTATCATGAAAAGGGGTCTATTGGGCTTGATAGGAATCACAATTTCAGAATTTCGATGATTGTGATTGTTGTGTTTGTGTATCATTTACAAGAATATAACAATAAAGCCTGTGTTTGTGAACACCTGTTTTATTATGTGAACACTTTTTAGATTGCACATTTAAGATGTATATTAGCATAGGTTCCCATGTCATTTGAATGTGAACACCTCAGAACACATCTTGCTAGTGGTAATCAGTGATCAAAAGGTTTCTTGTAGTTAAACTAACTGAACCCAGCAGATGTGAAAGATAAGTCAGCTTTGAAGAGAAGGTTAAGACATGGCGAAGCTGTGATATATTGGCTAGATTGATGGTGTCATAGGTTATAGTAATCTGTTAAAGTAAAACTGATATTAAATTATTGCTAATTTTGACATTTAACAGTACTGTGCTCTAAAACTTTGAATATGGTACTGTCTCAAGTACTATAAAATCTGCACGGCACCATAATCAAATGATATTGTGATTTCAGAGTGGGGATTGGGGGTGTATGACATCATCAGTATAATCAAGATAAGAAAATAGCTAACGGTCACGTATTGCAAGGTTTATCGAAAATGTCTATCATTTCTTTTTATCTGCTGTACAGATAATTGATATGTAGAGACCTAACAAACGCCTGGAATTAATGAGTCATATTCGATAAGAACTAATTTAGATGAAGATTAATTTTTTTATGATTGATTTCAAAGGATGATTTTCCCATAATGCAACATTATCAGTCATGTGATTTAGAACAGCCAATTATAGTGCAGAGTTAGTTTCCTTTAATCTTGAATGAGAGAATTTGGAGAGGGATTAGAGAAGTTGTGTCATACAGAATGACTCACTACAAATAAGATATCAAAATAAAACATTTGTCCATATTTCTCCAGAGAATTAGAGGATGAGATTTTCCAATAACTGTTAAATTGAAATTAAAAAGCAATTAATAAAATGAGTTTCAAAGACACTTAAAAAAGATCGTGCTTTTCTTAATGTTTGTTTTGTGTTGTTTGTGTTGTTCAAAAAGTCAGAAAATAGAAAATAGAAATACCAAATATTCAAATTGTAAGAGACATCTATTGAAACTAAACTTCTAGAATTTTGATAAATAAGAGGAAGTTTATAATTTAATATAACTAAGGAGAATAAATATTGTGCGTTAGTTTATAATTATACAAGTTTACTCAGCATATTGGAATTTGCCACCTCATGTAACAATTGATTTCCCAATTACATCCAAATTGTATTTAGGATTAACAAATTTTAATCTCTTATTTGACAATGAAACTTGCCAGATGTTGAGATGTATGCACAGTAAGGGATTCTCTCAAAGCTAATGTGATATTGTTACCCTTTGCATTCGTTCAACTTCACCTCTTAAAAGAGAGCTTCGTCTTGTAGTTTAACTAGACATTGCACGGTGCACGCAGGGTACGATATTGGGAGATTTCACAAAATTTTGGTCATGAATGAACAAAATTCCTAATACATGACTATGAACTCTTTGTGTTGAGAAATTATGCAAGATGCAGCCTATCATTATTATCTTTCATTTATTGGTTTCTAGTGGAAGTGACATATTGTTGTCGTCTCCAACTTTTTGTGGATGACAGTCAGCTTTCGGTGGTTGGCATGTGCCATTCATCATCTGTAACAAATGGCAGGTGGTGACACAATGCCTGTTTTACCTTTGTCCTGTTCCTCCATAGTAATATTATAAGCCATGATTCTGAGTAAAATAAAATATATTGTACGATTAGTTAAATATATTTGAATATTGCTCATATGAAAATCAGTTTGAATCTAATTTAGTAATGATGAAATGAATTTTAACCCCGAGTGGGACGTATTGAGCAATGAAAGCCCCTTTAACAAAATCAAAATTGATTAATTTTTCATTATATTGAGATCACCCCCTTTTAATTTCTTGAGGGGATATTGCCTAGATGTTAATTGGCTGCCATGGAGAAATTCTCCATGGATTTTTCACAACGTATAGTACTATTACAAAGCTGTAAATTAGATTTGACAGTGTAGGAATATAGAAGACAAAGAAAGTTGAGATTATTAAGTAAGAAAAAACTTGATGTAAGTCATATTTCAAAAAATAGAATGAAAAAGAGTGAAATCAGCAAGGAATAAAGTAACCTCTGGATATCAAATGGTAAAATTCTCCAAGGAATGTGTGATCATTTTAAGAACTATATACTAGATCCTGATAATTAAAAGCGCAAAAGAAAAAAGACGAAAGAGAAATATATGATAGAAGCACATTGACTCAATTGATATTGCATTTTTCTGTTCCTCAATCACATAGCTACTACTTTTAATATTGAACTGAACTGTTCTGTCTTTATGTCTTATGTCTTAATTAACAAAGAAGTCAAGTATTCTACCAAACGTGCTAAATTACCACAGATTTAACTCTTCTAAATTAATCATTAGAATTATACGAAAACAGGAATTGAAAGAAAAGAAATGAACAATTGAAATGTCAGCTGTATGGCAAAGATAACAAGCTGTTCTGTAATACGATATACAACTTGATATTATGTCATGGAAGCCTGAATCTTGCCTGAGATTTGACACTATCATTTCAATATAATTCTGCACTCTGGGGATGTGAAATGAAGTTAAGAATTTGCTGATGCATAGTCTAAGGCTTCTGATTTGAAAGGCTGGATGAAACAATCTCTTCTTAAAAGTGTGTAAAAAAGCTCTTTGTTAGAGATCAGAAATCAAAGCTCTTTGTTAGAGGGAGGAAGTTTGACCTTTTACAAAGGGTAGTATACAAGGAGGAAAATTTAAAACTGTGATCTATTTTTCCAGAGAATCCGTATGATTATTTTTAAACAAATGATATGAGAGATGAATTCATTTTTTAATTATTGAATGATTCGTTGTCATTTGGAATATACAAGGGAAACACGCATATAATTATACAGTAAATCTAAAACTAAATAATTGATACATTCAGGACATATGCACTGAGCTTTGAAAAATGTTTAGAAATCTAAAAAATCTGGATGTTTGTTTACAGATATATTTTTAGCACTGGTACATCATACCAAACCTATTGGATTTGTTGAATTCTGAGTAGTTGAGTAATTAAACCAGGAAGATGACCAAATTAATTTAAAAGTAAATATTTACAATTAAGGAGCAAGTACTCATTACATATATTTCAAGTTCCGAATCATGGTATAAAAAAGCTATTTTTGAATTATCACCAGGAAGTTAAATAAATCAGTAACATTTGGCAACAACAGGTCATTGTGACCTTGACATTGAATTCGTCGAATCGATATGCTTTCCATCTGATTTCATTTCTATAAAAGAGTTCAACATTTAATTTACCAATTAAGATATTGGGCTACCAGATTGGAGTTAATAATATAAAATACATATTCTCTGCATTAACAGATAGGAACACACTCAAGAAAAAAGAACAATATTTTTGAGTGATTTACACAAAAATAATGCCAGAGATATAGGAGTGAAAATAATTGAAGAATTGATGAGGCAAATCCAGCACTAGGTGAGGCAAATTCAATCTAGATGAGGTAAAATACTAACATTGGACTTAATCTTCACAGTATCACTCCTCTGGATGTCTATCTGCAGTATTAACTGACATTATAAATCAAGGAACATTTGCTGCACATTTAGATATTTCAATTTGGAAGACTTCTGTGGTAGTTCCAGGAAAATATAAGAATGGGACGGATTTATTATGTGGTAAGTATAAAAAATATTTGTTATTACTCTTATGGAAGTGCCAAATAATCAGGTTGAATGCATTGTCATATGACAGCTTGTCATTGTATGACGAGTTAGGGGTAACTTAATTGTCATTGTATGACAAGTTAGGGGTAACTTAATTGTTATTGTATGACAAGTTAGGGGTAACTTAATTGTCATTGTATGATAACTTGAGGACAAATATATTGTCTATGACAGTTCAATTGTACAGGTAACAAAATTCTTTGACAACTAAGCATTGATAAATTGTCCTTCTATAACAAGTTAGATTTGATAAATTGTAATTTTATGATAGATGTATGTAAACCTAGATAAACTGTCATTCTGTGACAACTTAAGTTAGACCACAGTTAATAACTTCCTGTTCACAACCTTTATTAATAACCAAAGCAAAAATACTCCGGCCAAGAATGTTTGCCCACCCCCCAACCCCCCCCCACACACACCCTCCTCCACTAAAGCATCCACATGCATGGTCCAATTTTCTTCTGATATTTGGAGCTACAAAGATAAACATGTTGTTAATGTTAAAAATAGTTTATTAAAGATAAAACACCTTAAACCTCTATGTTGTATAATGCAAACTTATCATGTATAACAACATGCAATTTTTCACCCCAAGGGTCTCAGATGTATTATTACCCTGAATCTGTCAGCTTGCCACATCACCCTCTGATGTTTCTATATGATTTACAGGTTTATATGATTATCTCTTATTTATTCATTAAGAATCAACACTGTTTATTATTATATCAGTGCCATGCTCACTTAGGGTGCATCTATAGTCAATGGATTCCTGTATTTCAAACATGGCTTAAGGGTAATTAAGTGCAACCTGAGTTAGTCTCAGGTGCAACTAAAATTGTATTAAAAACATTAATAATGAATATTTGATATCTATCTAGTTAGAAGGTTAGTCTTGACAAACTAAAATGCAGAGTTTATCATTTAGGGATCCACAGTCTCTTCTAATTCTTGGAATAGACAGCTTTGAAGAAAGAGAGACTCTGATAAATAAGAATGATAGTTTATGCTTTTCACGGGAGTTTGAAATTATGATTAGCCACTTAAACAAGTTAAAGGCAGAAAATGATGGCTTCATCAACCAATCATCACTAATGTAAGAGTGTCGGTTAAATTGAAGTATTTTAAAGGGTATTTTAACTTGAAAGTCTAATGATTTCATATCACCATGCCAACCTGTCATATGCTCCTAAATTATCTAATATGTTTGAAAAGAACCTACCGTACTGTAAATGATATTCTCATATTTTTTTTTCATTATAATGAATAAAAAAGATATAATGAAAAGTTTTAGGATGTATTTCTTTTAAATCAAATGGTTACACTGATGATACTTAATATAGCAAAAAACAATCATTTGCCAGGGAGTATTGACATTTCTTCAAGCCTACTCATTTCTAAAGAAATCTTTTTTCCACATTTTTGCTAACAATTTCAATTTAACTAACTTTTCATTAATTTTGATTAGCTAAATATATTAGTTACTGAAAGTGAAGTAGGATAATTAATAAAGTGTTAATTTATTGATTTTTTAAAATTAAATTAGAAATGATGTCAAAGCTGGCTACAGGCCTATACAGGAAATTATCACGAAACTTGGGCTTCACCTGAAAGATGTAAAGCTAAGTTGATAAAAAATATTTTTTTAAAGAATACAAGAAATATAAAATGTTAGTTGCAGTCATTTTTTCTCTGGTTTATATTGCGCTTTTAATGCCCTTATTCATAAAGTAATTTTAATAGGCTTGAAGTATCTTAAAACTGTGTATAAACAAACCTTGTAAAATGAAATAATGTAAAACAGGTATGTCATTTATGTGGGAAAATAATCCTATCATCGACTTAACTCCAAATATGGTATGACTCATGAATAATAGGCAGGGCACCCTCATATTCAGTAAATATAAATACTTTAAAAAGATATTACCCATAATTCTTAAGTATGTCACATGACTTGCCTCAACCAATCAGATTAGAGTATTATAAAATAACAATGGGATATTTGTTGAGTTTAGCTAGAGTATTTACCATGTCCATTGAGGCTTTTCATTTCATGTTTTAAATAAATACACCTTTATATTAGTTAAAGCACATATACCGGGACACGGTTTTATGCAGAGTTGAAGGAAGTGAGATATATTTTACAACATACGTAGTCTCAGATATAACATAACATGAAGTTGAATCATGGGCATTCATTGAAGTTTCGGGAGGATTTGAGCAATTGAATTAGGAACTTTATATAAAAATACTCAAGTACCTACTTGTGTTGTAAAACTGGAAAACGATTGGAACAAATTATAGCTCTCTACAAAAGTAGTTGGAATTAATAAAACTGATAAAGGATAAGTTAACCATGATATGTCAACAGATGATGTCAAATTGAGACATACCTTAACCAGTGATGTCAAGTTGAGAACCAAGTGATGTCAAATTGAGGAATTATGTGAAAATAGTGTAATAGAGGGAAATAGTACATGTTAGATAAATTACTGTTAATGGTGCTAAATTCACTACTATTAACAGTGACTACTATTAACAGTAACTACTATTATTGGTACATTAAATGTACCAGAACAACCAGTAACTTACAGGTGTTGTATATGATTGATTTTGGTTAAAATACATGTAAATAGAAGGTAAATACATGTGAATTTAACTGAAATTTTACAATAAAACTATACAGGAGTTTATTGTTGCCTGGTTTGGATCCAAAGTATGTGTAGGAATATATGCAGGATAATATGCAGGATTGGGAAATAAGCAGGTGTCAGTTATAACTTAAAACTAGCAATAGATATTATCCAAGTGACAAGACGCACCAGGTGACATACTACAATCAGGTGACATACTATAACCAAGCGCCATATTTGAATTAATCAACAACCCAATGAAAAATCTCAAAGGACTTAGAACCAACTAAAGACACACCAAGAAAGCAGAAACCACCCATCGGACTACTTATTGGACTGGTACCAGGTGAATTCTACCCCATGGTAGCTGGTAAATGGTGACCTTTATGAAGTTTACGAGAATGCAGTAGCTAAAACTTAAGGTGAGGATAACACCTATACTATTAAAGTAAAAATAAAATGAAAAATGTCAATATTTACAAAGCTTTTACCAGAATATTTATGTTGAGTTTGATGTCTTTTAAAAACATTTTTATATTACAGCCTTTGAAGAAAATAATTTTTACTTAAAATAACATTTAATGTATGTACTGTACTCAGTCTGTGATGATCCAATATATAAATATTTAAGTTGTTTTAACTATTTATATGTTATTACATGTATATGTTGTATGTTAAACCCCAACAACAAACAGTATTAATCATTTCAGCTTATTCAAATTTCTTAAGGTGGGCAGAGTGGAATGATTTACTTGATTAATTAATTTGAACCTTTCAGTTGTAGGATTCTATACTGATTGCATGTCCACAACCCCAAAAGTGACCATACTGGGACTACCTTAATATATATAATTTGATCCGTGGTTTCTCCACATGCATGTAGGTTTACATGTGTTAACACACAGGTAGCTATTCAGTAGGTTTAATGTAGTCTAGTCTTACACCATGAACCTTTCTCCAGGGGGGATACCCCTTGGGGAGCCCCCTCTTTGCACTCATTTTGAATATTTTTACCTGATAAAACCTAAAACCCATTATTTTGCCTGGGGGGCTGTACACAGTGGGTACACGCTGATAAAATACAATGGTTACTAATTGTGGTCAAAACCCCAATTACTACCTTTCTTGTCCTGTTTGTGGCCAGTGGAGTGAATCTCATTGACATGAGTGGTTGGCTTCTATTGACAAACTGCATACACATTTATTATTTATAGTATTAATTTAATGAACATTAGTACAGAAGAAACCTGAGGTTTTATTTTACTTGAAATCTCTTTCCATTAACAATACTGTTAATGTCATCTTTCAATTTGTCTTTTTTCGCTGGAAACTGCAAAAATAGCAAGTTACTAGTTAGCATCCTCCGATCACAGGGCTTCAAAATCCAGAATATATCCTTTCTTTTTACCCCCTGCGATAAGCAGTTACCATTTCCCTGATTAGAACTCACGATCTGATTAGCTGTCGCAACAATGCGACAGAAATCATGTATGAGTCATTGCGCATAATTAGATCACATGATTCAGTTTAATCGGGCGCTTCCAAATTGGTTATAGCAGGGGGGAAGAAGGAGGTACGGATTCTGGATACCTGCTTAGGAGGATGCTAGTTAGACACAGTGAATAGTTCTGCTTACATATACATTGAGAGTATTGTGTACTTGCAATAGAAGACCCCTTATGATAAAAAAATGATATGATGGTCATGATTTGAAATGAAAAATTCAGCATAAAAAAGCGAAATCAGCAAGAAATGAAATAAACACACATGTAGGGAACATTCTCAATTGTATAGAAATGTAAGAAAATCAGACGGTTCATTCAAATTTTGGAGAGAAAATGTTTCCAAAAGGCATGACCGTATAGAAAAGATTTAAGGCGAGGGTGGTGCATAGAGTAACATGCTGACCAGTAGACCATCATTCCCACAAGGCAATGACACATTAAACATAACACCTGTAGAAGTGCAGGTAGATGGTACATCATGCAAATTACTATAATGGATGTAGTTCATTAAAAAAGCATTGGAAAATTGTCAAATGTTTGCATTTTTGGCCTAACTCCATTTGGGGATCCACAGCTTGTACTAATCTCTTGGAGTATACAGGTATTAATTATATATAGAATAAGTGCCATTTTTATCACCCCCTTCCACTTAAACGAATCTAAAGAGATTTATTTATAGATATTTTAGATTGAATTAAATTTTAAATTGAATTTTTTTAATCCGTCTCCCATAACAAAAAATAACTAATGCAACAATGTTTGATGTTAATCCATACTTTGGGCGAAAAGATGGGCACAGCATTAAACCATCACCGTACATGGACATTTAATGTCAAAAGTTGAATTTCTTATTCCTTCAGGCCACCAGGAAGACTGACTCACATTACAACATCATCCGTTAAAATATGACAAGAAAAAATATTTTGATAATTTGATATACATGTATTTATGGACCAGTACTTATTTTTAGGTCCCATTATAGATATTAAAATACTTACTTAGATCAAGTGAGTGAATTTGAAAATAATGATTTAAAAAGTGACACCTACACAAGACAAGATGAGGCCGTTTTAATATCTAAAATCAGTTCAGTCATCGTCAAAACATTAGATATATTTTATAAACAACATTGTGAATTTCTTGAATTAAAAAAGTTTTTCTCGCAATATACCATACATCTATTTTTATTTGATACAAACTGTGAATTTCTAAGTATCTTTTGAATACCGTATCTCCATTATATAAAAAGATCAAGGTTAAGTTAGTCACGATATTTTGAAATTTTATGCGCTGTCATTTATCACAATCTGATGAAAAAAACATTTATGAATTATGCCATATTTGTCAAACACAAACACACAGGTGAATGAAGTGTTCATTTTGAACTTAAAAAGTTGAATTGATCTCGCCTAATTCTCATCAATCAAAATATTTACATTACAGAAATTGTACTTGTAAAATATTTCAGGCTTTGGTGGGAGAAAATATCTGGGATAAGTTATTTCAAAACATAATCTAGTGACATGATGTAGGGGTATTTTTCAAGGGTGACGCGTCTACATCTAAAAAAACAAAAAAACTTCTCCCTCATTATAGTTGCACATACATAGAATCTTGAGTTCTTGGTGTTTCCTCGATGTTTCTTGAACTTTATGAAGCGGGATGGGTGCTTATTGGAGAGGGGGCGCTTATTACAGAGAATATGGTAATACTTTTTTTTCGTTGAGTCTCCCTTTCCCCGAGGAGTGTGGTAACACCCAGTGCACCCCCCCCCCTGGGTTCACCCATGTAATTGTGAAAATGAGCCCTCTCATATTTTTGTTCAACTCTTAAAGTGATTCCCTGATTTGCAATTGAAATATTACCTCCACATTTAAATGTGAAACCCTACCCTATTTTTCTCATGTTTAAGAATGTACTCGTTCATCATATGAATATCATCTTGGAGTTTAAAGGTACAGTTTTTCTTATAAGGGATGGTATCCAGTATAAATAGTCTACTGTTGTGGTTGATCAGATTCAATTTTGTTAGGGGGAGATGGCTGATTTCATAAATGAAAATGTTGATTTGTTGAAATTCAAGTTTGCATCCAATGTTATGTGGAGGTGTGGGGTTGATGTTTAAACCACGATGAATTAACTTTGTTTCATAACTTTTGACAACCAGACACCATCTCTATGTGAGTATGACATTGTATGTTAAATCATCCCCTAATGTAATGTAAATGAGACGCCAGGGCTGCTCCTATTGTTCCCCTCTACCATCTATCATTACTGTAAATTGGGCTGATTTGGCACTTTTTAATTTTGCATTTTCACCAGGTTGCAACGAAACCCCTGATTTATGGACAATGTTACATCAGTATCTATAGAAGTTATGATAAATCCTATATTATGGAACCCTTCTGAAAGACAATAATCATGGCAAACTGAAAATGGGGATTTAAATTTGTAACCTTGTTAACCATTTTTGAATTTACAAATTAAAGTGGGTGCCAAACTTAAGTTATTTACAGTACATGAATTTGTACTTAAATGTCAGAGCAACCCCATAAAACTACATACTGTAAAGTCTACATTAAGAAAAATCAAAACTGGAACATGCCCCTTCTAAAATAATTAGATATTTACATATTTGCAATTAAGGCAGGACTTGTATGATGATTAATCAACATATTTCACAACATGAAACACTGATGAACCAGAAAACTCATTCTGCTTGACCTACCTTACAGATTAAAAAGTTTCATCTTAAAATTTAAAAGAGGAGAAAAAAGATAACGTTCACATTCTGTAATGTAAAGAAATTGCTCCTTGGGCATTATATTAAAATACAGTTTTGATGAGCAATCTTCCTAAGGGGGCTCTGGTTAAAAAATTTGCATACCATCATCTTATTTCCGCCTACTTCTTTAAACATTCTACATCTCATTAATTCCGTCTCCCACTGAAATCAAACATGTAAATCATCTTAAAAGACTATATGTTTCAATCTCAAGAAAGTCACATCTTTCAATAGTGAATCAATGTTGAATTTTTGTGTGGTTAAGAAATGGCGACTTTTCCTCACTTAACTTTTCTGTGGTTCATGTTTATATTGTAGCGTTGTCAAAAGACATTGTTAATGTTTTGAATACAGGTAATTCCATGACGCAGAATAATTTTATTTTTGCTTCCTTAAACTAAATCTACTAAGTTTTCAAGTACTCTAAATAATGAAGAGATGCTATGAATATAAGAATATCAATCATTCATAGTGGTTCATGCGAGAAATAGTTTACCTTTCAAACACTGGTTTTTAGAGGTTTGATTTATTTTCTAATACGCTACCGGATGATGTGTTTTTTCACTGTTGATAATAAATCTATTTTTATTATTTTAGATAAGAGGACTGTCAAACATTCAGAATACATGAGTATGAATAATTTTTATTATAACTCTCGAATAATTTTATTTTTGATCTAATTTCAGATTCAGATACATAAAAACCATCATGGCTACATTTCGAAAATTATTTGGATTTTGGAATAAGAAGCAGAAGTCTCCTACTGATAAAAAGGGTTCCTGGAGCAAGCATAAGATCCGTAAAGCCCGGTCACTAGATACATTAGACCGTGATGGAGATATCCACGATATAATGAATGTTCTAACTGCTGCGGAAGGTGAAACAGTACGCAAGAAGAAGCAAATCCTTCACTATCAAAAACATAAAATCATGGCAGAACTAGAGACAATGGAAAATATGGGATATGGAGAGGATGTGTTGACTGATGATACAATTACAAATGACGAGATTGATGTCGATCTTGAACCTGTTCAGCAGGAATTTAATCCCGTCATTGAAATTGAGGCTCAAAGTGTAAGAATGCGTCGTGAGAATATCGCCCAGTTATGGACTGGTTTAGAAAATCAAGGATTTCAGAATGATGCCATTGATGACGTTTACAATAATAGTCAAATAAGCGTCGATTTGAACTTCACCCCAGGCACAAGTACGACTGACCCTACCAGATTGGCCAGTCCCCGGCCCGGTTCATTATTGTCTGAACGTCTCATAGATGCCCCTCCCCCTCTACCCATACGAGCCAATAGGCCGTCAAATAAACAAAATGTTTCGTTTTCTGACCTTGACCTTGATGAAACTTCAAGTGACTCTGGTTACAAAGAAAAATCTAAAAAGAAGAAAAGTAAACTTAAGAATAAAAAGAAACAACGAAAAAATACCGATCCTGAATGGGAAATTGTAATGGACAGGCAATATATAAGACGTGTTTGTGTATCAGAAAATGATATTTTAAACGATGCTAGCGATTCTATTGAAACATTAGACTCTTCAGAAGAAGATGTCTTCTCGGGGCAAAGCCAAGTTTCATTCGCTACACAAGGTTTCAAGGTTACTTTCCATGAGGAACAAGAGCCATATACCCAGAATGCAATATTAGCAAAGGAGGTGCATATAGTCCCACCTGAAAGTAACCGGTCAAGTGTAATTAGTAATATGAGTGAAGTAAAATTTCATACAATCTCAAATGAACGCAATATTGAAGGACGAACCAACTTAAATAACTGGTTAACATGGGTTGAAGCTCCACAAAATCCTGATGGTGAAACCTCGGGAGTCGGAAGAAAAATGTGGAATTTAGTGAATGTAAAGAACCAGCGCAATAGTGGGGATTTGAGCGATGTTCCTCCACCATTGCCTCCGAGAGGTAATACAATTGGGAGATTATTCAAACGTAAATCACCCAGAGAGGAAGATGTTACGACAGTTTACCCTCAAAAACCTCAATTAATGCGTTCCCAAAGCTCACACGATATACTCGTTACTGCTGAAGATATGCTGCTGCCACCTAGTGACAGAAAAAATGCTGAAATATTTAGCCCAAGCTTCAGGCCATCTTCCCCCACTCATAGTGTATCAATAAGTGAACACTCCATTAATTTACAAAATACAGATGCAATACCCTCAACTAATTACAATGATCCAATACCATCAACTAGCTACAATGATCCAATACCATTGACTAGTTACAATGATCCTATACCATCGACTAGTTACAATGATCCTATACCATCGACTAGCTATGGGAGTCCAATATCACCAACTAGCCCGAATACTACACATGATATGCATGGTATTGATGAAGACATAGTGCTGCCATCTATGTATGGAGTCCCTATATCAATTAACTATGATGACCCAATACCTTCAACTAGTTATGGAGATCCAATACCCTCAACTAGTTATGGCGGGGGTGATATTCGCTATGGTCGGCCACCTTTTATAAGCTATGAAGATTCAACAATGAGTTTTAGTGAAGAATCAGATATAGAGGTATTGTATAAGTACATCTTATTGTAAGGGTATATCTTATTGTTTAAGTACATCTTATTGTAAGGGTATATCTTATTGTTTAAGTACATCTTATTGTAAGGGTATATCTTATTGTTTGAGTACATCTTATTGTTTGAGTATACCTTTTTGAGTGAGTATGTCCTTTATCATTGGTACATTTCATTGTATAGGCATTAAAATTATGAAAGAAACTTTAGTATAAGTTAGTTTGATTTTAAGTTTTAATATGTTTAATAGGGATTTATTAAAAATGCAGGTTTGGTCTCGATTACATGTATAACAATTTAAGTAATAGGGGAAGTGAATGAGTTGCTGTTGTGATTTTCTAAATTTTCTGATTGATATGAATTTGGATACATGTAGTAAAAAATGATGGAAGTTAAAAAGTAAGGATAGGTAAAAAGTAAAGATAGTTAAAAAGAACAGATAGTTTAAAAATAAGAATACATGTAAATAAAAGTATTTAATCTCAACTGAAGGACGTACACACGCCATGCTTAATAATAAGTAATAATTCCAAATAATAATGAATAAGTGACATACGTTGTATTAAATAACTCACATAAGGACACCAGATTGAATATGTCTAAGACATCAATTGAATGCTTAGATTAAGGTAATTATAATTTATAGGATGTTTAAGTAGAAGCAAGTTGCATTAGGCAATATTAGCTAAATAAATGTGCCCAATGTCCATGTGTGTTTTGAGGTGTTTAACTCCACTTGAATGTCCACTATGACATATTCTTCATTATGATGCTTGGACTTCATAGGCATAGCCAGGGGGGGGGGTGCGATGGGTGCGAATGCACACACACCCATAACCAATAAAAATAGAACCGTTAGATAGAAGAAAAGAGCTTTAGAATGCTTTTCATTTGAAGCTTCTAACTCAATATTGAAGGAAGTTACATCATATAACATAACATAACATAACATCAATTATTATAAAATTCAAAACAAATCTTTAAAAACAATTTTTCGGCTTGCTTATGCCTCGATCGCACCACCCCCCGACTGAAAACCGAAATTTTTTTGGCGATAGGACCCCCCTGACCGAAAGCTGGCTACGCCCCTGGACTTGAAGCCAAGCTTCTCCGTTCCTTTTGCCAGAGCATATAGTTCATCTTTCCTCTAAGTCGAGTCTCCCCTCCACAGCACCCATTAACAAAATCCCTAGGAATTGGCTTAAAAAGAGGATGTGGTCACACCCAATGTACTCCCCCTGGGTTAGCCCATGCCAAAGTTGTTCATTGATTACCCTTTGCAGGAGGATAATTATGTTACAGCCTTTTCCTAAATTTCCATCATCAAAATAACAGTGTAGGCTATCAGATTAGCCTTTATCAAAATGATCTTTATTTTACTTTTTCACAGAGAATTGTCTCCTTTGATTTTCCATTTAGAGAATTTAAATAAAATTCAATGAAAAGGCATCATCAATATTTCATTTTCATCTGTAGTAGTCAGAGGCGGGAGTGGCTGATGAAGGGTATTTAAGGATTTGACTGATGGGATCAATTTACTTATACACGGATCGATTTTTTGGTTTAGAGAGGGGTACTGTTATTTTTTGACATCCTGTACTTGCATTTATGGTTTATGCATTGTTACATAATGTGTGAGAAAAGAGCGTGCCATCAAGCTGATGTGACATCTTCGTCATTATCATATCGCTCCTTAGAATACTTTAATGACACACCTTGGCAACAGCTTGCCAATTGCCCTTACACTATAAAGAGTACCCCAAACTCTGCCTGAATTTTATGCCGAGTCCTGTCGTTTTTACACTTATTCTCTTCAAAATTTGAATGAAGTGTTTTGTTTTCTTTCATTTCTATACAATTTAGAGTGTTAACTACATGCCTGTTTACTTTATTCCTTGCTGATTCCACTCTTTTCTACCCTATTTTGCATTTGAAAATATGACCATCATGATGTTTATGTCATGGATAGTGGTCATATTTTGGTACCTTTTGAACGAAAATCTTTGCTATAACCATGACAATGCTCTATTTTGATTGAGTTTTTCATAAAATCGTGATCAGCTGAAATGAAATATTTTGTCATTTTGTTAATTTTGTTTCAAGAATGTCAAAAAATATCGTGCATCCAAGATGTTTATTGGAAGGGTTATAAGATATCATATACATAAAGATTTTTTAATTATTGTTTGTATCGCTCATGAAGATGTTGGAAGTAATTGGAGACCTTATTTTGGATAATACAGTTTAAGGACCTCAAGAAAACAGGCTGTGCCCTGAACATGTGTATGAAAGTTATTAATGAGGTTATGATATAGAAAGACATGTATAGTAATTTTGATTTTAATTAATTAATAATCATTTGAGTCTTTTGATTTAGATGAGATAGTGACTATCGTTATAAGCAACATGTAAACCTTGATAATGTCAATCTAGAATTTTGGATAACTAATTTAGAGAAACAATTCGGAGAATTAAGGATAAAGTAAAAATGTCGGTAAACCAAGCAGACGATTATTCTCAACCAGGATATCAAAGACATTTACGCAGATATACATATCACTACAGTCACGAATATGATAATGACCCAGGGACTAGCGTTGATGAAGATTATGATCAGGCTGGGGACCGATCAGAATATCAGTCCTTAAACTTTAATAACAATGGTTCCCATAGCAACAATGGTCAACCTGACAACAATGGTCACCATGGTAATAATGGATACCAAAATAATGGTCATCATGATAATGATAGATACCAGAATAATGGTCACAATGATAATAATGGTTACCAAAATAATGGTCATCGTGGTAACAGTGGTCATCAACGATCCAAGTCATGTTACTATGGTGATTACAATAATTACCAAGCCCAGAATAGCTACCAAGGACAATTTGCGGGTTACCAGGGTCAAAATGGATACCATGGTCAAAATGGTTACCACTTTCAAAATGGTCCCCAGGGTCAAAATGGTTATCCAGATCAGAATTGTTACCAAGGACAATATGGTTTCCAAGACGACCTGGTTGGAGACCCAACTGATAATTTTTGTCCACAGCAACGGTACAGTTGCTATGGAGACAATTGGGATAAGTTTGTTCAGTCTGGATACAACAACTATGGTTGGGAACATGGCCAACATGCCTTACTGTTGGTAAGAACATATCTAGTTTAATTGCATGGTAATTTTTCTCATGTTTACAGAGAAATTATAGCATTTTTCCGTGAACTTATTGAACGACCTGGTATATGTCTTGAAAACTACTTCAGTAGGAGTTTCAGATAAATCAGTCAAAGAGTCGAAAATGTTTTCCCTAACTTGATAAATTTACTTTTAAATTCGATTAAATGGTCAGGGAGTTCTATTGGCAAAAAAGTAAAAATATGGTCGTTGGGGTTATGAGTTGGGTGAAAAAGTTTAAAACAGCTTAGACATTAAAACTGGTACTTCCATTGTATAGGAATAATATCTTTAAGATATATATGCATTTACATATACTCTATCCACCTGTAGTACTTTAGTAATGTCATACGTAGTACTTAACACTAAAATTATGATTTAACCAGACTTGAATCCTTGAATTCCCTTAATTCTATTCCAAATTCACCCCATTCCAAAATCAGTGTTATTCCATTCCTACACAACAATTATTCCGTCATTGGCCAGGAAAATGTTCTTATCAGCATTAAAATTGTAAAATAATTAGTTATAGTCAGAGTGTAGTGACAATCAGAGGGTGGTGTGGATTCAGGGTTATAATTAGTAATATTAAGATCAATAAAGTACAAACTTGTATTGATCTTTGGTCCAAGGGTATTTCAATTCTTTCCATAGCTTTCCATTCATAAGCTTAGCGAGGCCCCATCTTGAAGGATGCAAACTTGCCCTGTTGGTGGCGGATATTTTAAAAATGATGTTTAGATATTTACAAATGTATAGCCTCTGGACCATACTAACCCCCTCACCCCCCCCCCTTATCTACTTCAGCACACTTGTGGGTGGGTGTAATGGTGGAGGGGGGTAGCTAGACTAACAAATGTATTACCACGTGATAGCTAGATAAATATATGTTCAGATTGGTATGGTATTATTTGTACTTTATTGGTATGGTAAATGTTGTCAGCACCGATCCTTTCTACTTATTTAAAGCATATAATTTGTGTAAATTGGTTTTAAAATTTTCAAAGAGCCATTATCTGAAAAATTCTATGGCACGTAACTCGTCATGTTTAAGGGTTAATTCTTTTGTTACGAAAAATCTTGTCACTCTGTTATCTCGCCACGTTTAGGGTCAAATTTAGCGACAACAAATCTTGACATGCTAGGTAAGACGTTAAAACTAATACACTCAACCTGGTAAGGTTGGCGTGCCCCCATAAATCATACAAATATTATGACCTTACAATCAATCACGACATACCGTCAGACACATCATCTTTTAATTGAACAATTACTCCCTAGCGGGGAATAAATAATTTTTAAAACACAGTCACGCTGACTTTATCCAAGCTATTTAGTGTCTGAATTTATAAAGTAGTTCTGTGGTTTCAATGATTTGTCCCTATATCAATCAGTATTTTGATTGTTTTTATATTATATATTATAGAATAATTTTTTTTGGAAGATGATCAGCTATGAACGACTCAAATTGTGGCAATTAACTGGGGTGTAGGCTAGTGAAAGAAACTCATAAACTTTATTGGTTTTTAAATGATTTCAAGACTAAAGCATGGACACGTAGGGATACGGGAAGAAAATTGCTTGATATATAAAATATATTCAAAATTGGATTAATGATAGCTAATATAGGAGAGAGACCAGGCAATAGAAAAGTAAAAAATGTTTCGGATTATTAAAATTGAAAAAAAAGAAAAAGTGAACAGATAATGATGTATTGTTATTAGGAAACAACATTATCCAGGATGTCATAGTAAATCACTATATGATCACTTTCATAATACTCAAAACAGGATTATTCTATAAAATAATCTTTTTTGTTGTCAAGATTCTAGCAACGATTTCTTTTATACTGTCAAATCCCCAAAACAGGATTATTTCATCAAAACACATGTTCGGTGTCTCAAATTAGACTATAAGTAAAAGATATATAAGCATTATATATTTAGACATCAATTGGATAGATTATTGACTTAGGATAACTAAGAAGTAAACAAAAAGTAAGATTTCATACATAAAACAATAAAGCATCAGAATAGCATATAACAATGGAGTTCAAAGCGCCACCTGGACCCATCCGGGGATTATAAAGCATATAGTAAAGTGTATGGGAATTTATAATGTGTATAGTAGAATGTATGGCAAGTTTGTTTGGTGTAACTGTCAATGTTTGGTATGGGAGACACAGAACTGCGGATCTTGAAATGCCATATCTAGTAAGTAATCATTTGGAATGAAAATGATTAGTTAAATCCTTATATTATAATTTACATAATAGAATGTATGGCCAGTTTGTTTGGTGTAACTGTCAATGTTTGGTATGGGAGACACAGGACTGCAGATCTTGAAATGCCATATCTAGTAAGTAATCATTTGGAATGAAAATGATTAGTTAAATCCTTATATTATAATTTACATAATAGAATGTATGGCCAGTTTGTTTGGTGTAACTGTCAATGTTTGGTATGGGAGACACAGGACTGCAGATCTTGAAATGCCATATCTAGTAAGTAATCATTTGGAATGAAAATGATTAGTTAAATCCTTATATTATAATTTACATAATAGAATGTATGGCCAGTTTGTTTGGTGTAACTGTCAATGTTTGGTATGGGAGACACAGAACTGCAGATCTTGAAATGCCATATCTAGTAAGTAATGTTTTGGAATGAAAACAGAAATAATTATTGATAATCCTTGAAACAACAGAGTATTATGCGCCTCCAGAACCTATTATAGGGGGAGTGGGTAAAAAGGTTTAGGGAAGTAAGCTGTAAGATATATGGATAGTTCAAACATATCTTTTCTTTGTGTGTCTAGTCTAGTTTAGCGTCACTCTGAAATTTTGGTATGAGAGACAAGGACTGAAGTTAGTAGAGCTTTCAATGCCTCTGTAAGATGTCTTAAAGAATTGAAATATATTTCATCTCAGTAAAAAGAAATAATAAGTATATGTTGAGACCTAGTTAATATGTACAAAAACATATCACATTGTTTCCCTTGCCATTCTGAATTTCATTTCTGAAAAACTGAGGCATCTACTCAAATCTGAAAGTTATGCAAGATTTAAGATTCACATGTAGGCCTTTATTAGGAACATCTGTATGGTAGAGACATACACACACAAACTGATTAGATTTTATATAATGGTTAAAAAATAATACAAAATGGACATGCATACATTATTGATGACATCTCTACAATACACAATAGTAAAAATGCCAAAATGGTAAAAACTGTTAAAGATAGTAAACAACTTTATAAAATTGTAAAGAAGTTTACAAAATTTTACGCAGACCTAACAGTTTGTTCTCCAAGAGAGATTTTATGAAAATTTTTAAAAAAATGTTGCAATGGATTCCGAACCAAATTCAAATATCCACCATCCATCCTTGTTAATTAAATTGAATTTTAATCTGTATGAATTCTTTTTAACTTCAAAAAGGTTATTCCAGAAAAAGATCTTTTCAGGAAACTGGCTTTTACAACCAAAAAGAACTTATTTTGTGAAGAATTTGGTTACAAAACATGAAACCAAACCTTATTTATAATTTTGTTTTTTCTGTTTCAGGAGAAAAGTAAGTCGAAGCCTCCCCCAGTTGCACCGAAGAGTGTTCGCCCTCGGACAAGTTCCGCCTCGAATGATTCAAAGCCTGTCTTTGTTACGGTAAGTACCGTAAAACTTGTCTAAGTGGAACACCTTTGGAATGCCTAAAAGGTGTTCCACTTGGGAGTTGTTCCACTTATAGAGGTTTCTTTGACATTAAGTCAGTTGGTCTTGGGACTCTGAAAAGTGTTCCGCTGTGGAGGTGTTCCACTTATAGAGGATCATTTCACATGAAGTCAGTTGGTTTTGAGACTCTAAAAGGTGTTCCACAAACATAAGTGTTCCACTTCTAGAGGTTCATTTAACATTAAGTCAGTTTGTCTTGGGACTCTGAAAAGTGTTCCATTTACAGAAGTGTTCCACTTATAGAGGTTCACTAAACATTAAGTGAGATGGTCTTCGGACTCTGAAATACCATGGGCCCTCAAGAGATGAAATAATACCAATAACTCTGCCATCTATCAGTAAGAAGGAAAATCAGGATACTTTTAGAGAGTATAAAATCCCAAGTTCAGCTCATTTTAAGTGTTATACAAAAGATGGCAGTGCAGTCAACCTCTATATTTATCATTTATTTACACTACTGCCATCTTTATATCGACCTAAAACCTAAAGTTCTGCTGTCGCCTGACTTTTCCATTCTGAATATTTTAAGAGTCCCTCTTCATATAAATAAAGCATGTGAGAGACTCTGATTTATCACAAAATTTGTTTATGGCCACTGCATTTTCCACAAAGTCATTGAGCCTGATTTATCAATGCACCTAAGGCTATTAAGGGAGCAGTCGAGTAAATCATTAGGAAAATATATGGTCATTCTCCCCTTTGCAATGGTACTTTTTGGCTCACGGATCGACCAGGCGTCCACCATTGGTCCGTCCGTCAACATTGGCCTCACAAATTAAAACTGCTATTCGGATTGAGTCATATCCACATTTATTTTATGCATATCCATAATGACTATTTGACCTATCATCGCCATTTCCCAAGAAATAGCTGATTTTGACGTCAAAAAGTCAAATTCTCTGTGAATACTAGACACTTTGTTGAAGTAGAACTTTCAAATAACTTGAAGTAGTTGCTGTATATGCAACTTATGTTCTCTGATTTCAAAGCTCTTGAAATGACAGTTTTTGGTGTTTACTCTATAAAATTTAACAAAAAGTAGGACTTAGTCATTTTCAGGAAAATTTCTCATGTATAAAGTCAATCATCATTGGCTGCACAAAACACTGTGTGAGCACAGGACCATGGGTCCTTTATTTTATTATTGTTTCCCATGGCATTTCAATTACAGTTGCTGCATTTTCTGCTTTCCCCTTCCTTCCTGTTTCAGTTTTAAGAGATTTGGAGCAATCAAAATCCACATCATAGTCAAAATTATAGTTCTAAAAATTGTCTATTATATTTTTTTCTATTAAAACATTTTTTTGAAATGATAGTTTTAAAAAAAATTCTAGACTAAATATTTTTCTTCTCTATTAAAATATTTTTTCAAAATGTTAGTTCGATCTAAAAAAATCTCTCTTAAAATATGTTTTCAATTCAGCATTTTGATTGCATATCTCAGTCCCATTGTCAATTTCAATACATTTCTTGCATAACTCTTTCCTGCCCAGATGGTGCACAAAAGCATTTACACGTGTCAGCCTTTAGAATTTGTAGACTTGAATTGTTGGCATTCAACATGACAATACAAATAAGGCTAAAACAATTTAATTCTATGTTTGGTGTTTATGTATTTCTTTTTGTAATAGGATGGGTACTTTTTTGCTAAGTATTAAAATAATTATAAGATATTTATGTCCTTCAAAAAAGACACAATATCTGGTCAATTACAATAATGTATTTTATATTTATCAAGAGAATGTATTTTAGTTTTAAAATTTTGTCTTAGGGCATATGTTAAACAAATTTTTAATAAACTCTGGCCTAATTACCTATTTTCATCAATTTCTGAAGTTTATAATAGCAATCAGGAATTATCAAATTAAAATCTAACTACATTTACTGCCTGACATAATTTTAAGTCACAATCATATCTGACTTTTTACGTATACCACACTTTTATACAATACTCAAAAATGATGGGAAATTTTATGTTTCAATCAAACTGACAAGGATTTAGTTTGGACATTAATTAATGTTTGGAAAATACAAAAATAGTGGATTACATTAAGTTACTGTAAGGAAAATTAATGATGAACTTCCAAAGTTATCTGAAGGTTAAGAATTGCATTATAGTTGAGGTAAGAAAATAAATTAATTTTATAGTAAAGTACAGTTATAGTAATGACATAAATGGCATGGAATTGTGTTTTAAAATTCAAATTGGAAGCGTGAAATTACCAAAAAGGAAGTCAAGATGTGTATTTAACACTCAGAAATCGCTGAAGACTTGGGAGTGAATTTCTAATTAGCCATGACAAGTACACTGGTACTGAACTCTTCAAACTAGAGGTGATCTGGTTAAAACTGCGGATCTTGACACTTTTTTTACCATTTACGGAACTTAGTGGGGTATTATATCGATGATTCTATCTATTTCTGAACTATTTCTTTTCAAACGTTTAAATCTTCTTAAGCATATGTTGCTGACACACGTTTGATGAAAATGTTGTAGAAATTCGGCCTAAACTTGTGAAAGGACGATTCTCGGTTTGGAGAACAAAGTTCATCAATCTAAATGAGCATTATCCCTGCTTTGGACAAATTTGATTTTTTTACATAATATAGATTTGAATGTCTTCTTTTGAATAGTCATAATTTAATTTGGGTAATATTTCTAGATTTTTCGCAAAAAAATATTAGCGCAGTACACTGATGAACTTCTTTCCCCAAATCGAGACTTGTATTTTATTGAATCGGTCTATTTGAGCATTATCCCTGCTTCAGACCAATTTGTTATTTTTACATCTTTTAGATTTAATTGTCCTCTTTTGAATATTCATAGTTTAATTTGGGTAATATTTCTATATTTTTCATGAAAATTTTTTTAGCCCAGGAGGCTGTTCTCCAAACCGAGAATCGTCCTTTGGAAAAATCGTAAATTCAAGGTTATAACATTTTGCCAAAACGGATCCATCATGTAATATAACTAGTTTGAAGATTGCAGTACCAGCAAAGTATGATAAATTAAGAAAATGAAAACAAAATTGTAATGGCACAGACTTTCAATAATTCTCGAGGAAAGAGGGAAAGTGCTTTACAAATTAATAAATAAAAATTCTTGTATTCATTTTAATCAAGATTGTATGAACTCCCCCCCCCTTCCCATTTGATCCTCTCTCGACCCTTATCAGTATCAAAACATTGTATGAATATCTTCAAGGACCTAACATGTATCTAATTACATATAGGTATTTTTGTGTACATTGTTGTCTAGGTAACATCTAGTATGAAATTAATTACAGGTATGTTTTGGATGTAGACATAGTTGTCACGGTAACACATGTTTTGGGAAAACATGGCTTATCGTCATGAGAACATTCTTTTAATTTCTGTAAGTCATATATTCTCCATTAATATCTAATTAAAATTATTGAGAACTTTGAAATTGTTAAGCAACTTATTTAAATCATATTGTGTTCTTCATAAACTTTGAATCAGTGATAAATGTTTGAAAAGTTGGAAACATATTCAGGAACCATTTAATACCTGATACCTGACAAGCTGATACTTGATTTTTGGACACAAATGTCTTCGCATTTGTAATTATCAATAAGGATTAAAAAGTTGATTAACTTTACTCACAAAAAGTAAGACTTACGCAAAGCTAAAAGTGAATTTATAAACAGGAGACATTGATAAAAGGAAAAATCAAAAAGAAATATGGTTAAGCCAAGAGCACCATTGTGTACTACGTTCTGCTATAAGTTCTACCACAAAGACATAAAAGATATAAAGGTCAGGAAAGGTGCCAATCATATTCGTTTTCTCATACATTTGGTGAGTCATGGTAATCATCTAGGTTTTGCGTGTGGCGAGTCATGGTAAACAATTTCTCATACATTTGGTGGTTCATCATTAGTCATAAGTCATGAGAATGTTTTGTCTTGCATGACATTATTTTCTTCGTATCTTGATTCTTTTATAATAAGCTCACACAGATTTTTATATCTTGATAAGATTTCACATTCATATCACAATTGGGTTTAGGGTAAACATGAAGTTATGAAACAATACATTAAGTATTAACTTTCATCATTTTTCTATCAAATAGTATTTGCTATTCAGTAAAGTTCGCTTGTTCAGGATGAAATACAGACTGTTAACAGGTACTCATATTCTCCTAAATAATGACTATTTTGTGGAATATATGCACATGTTTGTTTTGAATTTCAGGCGCCGTTGAAGAAACTTTCTGCCACCGTTGATGAGGCAACGCTTCCTGCACCAGACTACGATCAGAATGACGACACGCCCGAGTCTGGCTATCACACACCAGAGGGCGGTTCTGACCAATCAGAGCCTCCACCAGTGCTTCCAGAGCGACCCGTTACATTTGTATCCACAGTCGACAGATCTTTGCAACAGATTCAACGCCAGAATCAAAACGGTCATAATGATTCCCATAATGCTTCACAAAGGTCAAGGGTCATGAGTAACGACCCTTATAGTACAACGTTGGACCATCCAATGTCGCCAAATCGTCAGGAAAGCGTATATGAGACATTCTTAGAAGTTAACGGACAGAAAAATCAACAATTTCCACCACCACCACCGATGGCTCCAAATCAAATGTCACCACAAAGTCAGCTGTCTCAAAAATTGCCACCACCCCCTCCTCCTCTGACGAGTATGCCTTCAGGTGTAAGACCACCTCCTGGCACAATGCCGAAACCAGCCAGGAATTCTCAAGCTGTTCCATCAGATGTTCCCCCTCCCCCACCTTCCATTGCAACAATGCCCAGAGGTCCCAGACCAACAGCTGTACCCCCTCCCCCTGCCCCTGGGTTCAATACAGTACCACGCCCACCCGGTGTGCCTGCCCCACCCCCACCACCCCCTCCTGGGAGTGCTCCCCCTCCCCCAGGGTCTTTACTGGCTGGAATCAGCAACATGAAGCTAAAGAAAACCGACCCACAGACCCAAAAACCATCAGGTAAGAATTAGCATTTTTATTGTAGTCTTGCATCAGGGGAAGTTAAATACAATGGCTTGATGCAAGACTTCTAATTTGTACAATTTGTGGTCATTATTTCTTTGAATTGATGGACTATGAATGTACAGTAAAACCCGTCTAATCCGAACACCTCTGGGACTGGTCAAAAGTGTTCACATTAGCAGGTGTTCACGTTTCAAAGTTTTATAAACATAGAAGCCAATGGGAGATACCAAATTTGGCCAAAAGTGTACGGATCAGCAGGTATTCATATTTCAAGGTTTTGTAAAAATGTGAGTCAATGGGAGAAAATCATGAAAAGTGTTCACATTGAAAGGTGTTTACATTGAGAGGTATTTACATTAGAGAGGTGTTCGTTTATACAGATTTCACTGTACTATGTTTATAACTGTATAGTAATAATCACATGTTTGCAATAATACATACTGGTTACATGAATTAATATTTAATGAGATGCACCGTAATTACTGTAAAACAATATATTGAATATTTGCATTCTGAGAGCATCTCTTCGCTGCATCTCGTATGTCCATATATGGAGAAGGCGTGGCTTATCAAAATGGAATATTTGTATTAATGATAATGCCTATTTTCAACAAGGAAATTATTTGATATATTTGAATTTTTTTAATATACTTTTCTGAATTGGGAAAGTGTAGTGATTTATGTAATGTTAATTGTCAACTGATCGATACTATTTTATTAAGATTAATTGTACTTTTTTTAAGTTGGGGTACGTTGAACTTTAAGATTTATTTATAACCATTGTGTTTAAATTAAAATCATATACATTTTGATAAATTATATCAACTGAAGTGTCATACATTTTTACGCAAACAATGTACACTCCTCTCAGAAAAATTGAAAAATTTACTTTATATTTGATAGCCTGTTAAATTTATGCTTGAAATTTTCTTCCTCCCTATATTCAACCCCATGAAAACTCAGAATAATTTCTGTCTCAAATAAAATTCCATGAGACCCCAAAATGAAAGAAATATCCGTTACAGAAATTTTCACTAAAAGTGGGGTAACTTTGACTCCACAAATTATGTTTTAAAATGCCAGTTTAAAATGCCAGTGTAAATATAATAAAACTGGCAAAAAATGAAAAACAATCTGCTTTCAAACCCTTTTTGAGGCTGGTGTTTCAGCATTTGGTGTCCAGTGTTTGGTGTTCAGCAGTTTGTTGTCAGCTTTCAATGGTTGTCATTTGGTACATGTAACAAGTGGCAGGTGGTGATATTTTGCATGTTAATGCCTTGCTAAACGTAAACAGGCCTCAACTTGTGGTTTAGTGATGTTTGCCAAATTTTTTCAGGGGAGTGTAAGTAGTAGACTTGTCACTGCTTAAAACAATCTTAATCTATGAATTTCTTGAAAATATCATTCATTGAAATAGATAAACAAAAATTATTTTGAAAATCACTTGAGACACTTACTTTTGTTAAAACACGGTACGCAAGTTCAAAGTTAAAGTCTATTTTTACCGACAACCTGCAAGAAAATGACAAGGTGGTCATGTTTTAAAATGTAAAATAGAGTGGAAGAGAGTGGAATCAGCAAGGAATAAAAGAAACAGGCATGAGGTTAACACTCCAAATTTATTGTATAGAAATGAAAGAAAATCAGACACTTCATTCAAATGTTAGAGAGAAATGAGTGAAACCAGCAAGGAATAAAAGAAACAGGCATGTAGTAAACTTTCTAAATTGTATAGAAATGCAAGAAAATAATACAGTTCATTCAAATTATAGTGATTTATAAAAAGCCTGAAATAGACATGATAAAAGAAAATTTTGGCAAGGTCCCGCAATTTGTTTTGATAAAACATCCAGTGTTCTTAGTATTAACTTCTCTTTAAATCCCTTGATTTTTGTTGGATATAGAGGGGATATGTATCAGGTGGTTTATGATATAGGGTTTATCCCAAGGGATATATCTGTATCTTCCCGAAGGGCATTAGGAAACAAGGAAAAATATTTCCCTTCTTCATTGTATTTGAAAAGATATATGTAATAACTGTCCCATCTGGAATGCATTCAATCTTTTCCAATCTACATTGCAACACCTATAGCCAGTGTGTATGTATGTCTAATCGACTCTGGTATCATAACTATTACATATTGACCCATGTTTATGAGTAAATTGAGTGTTTTACAGTACAAACTCCACTAACGTGAAATATTGCATTGGGGGCACAATTATTACCCAGGGTTCATAAATATTGCATTGATTTAGTCTCCTCATCAGTAATAATGAGAAATTAATGAATATATCAGAGCAAGAATATGCAATAGACTAATTAATCTTGATTGAAGTTCTACTGTTTCTTGTATTAAGGATGTTCCCTGGTCAGATAGGAAAATATTCAATAGTATTTAACTTTTTCTCAAAAATGGTTTTCTGGGATTCTCACGGGCAACAAAGAATATTAAAACTTTAAAAACCATATGTTAGTGTGCTTTTTTCTGAGCAAGAGGCCTCTAAAGTGTCAATATTTGACAAAAGTGGGCGTGGCACTTTCTCATTGAAACCCATGTTAAAAATCAGGTTTTCACCCCAAAACACACTTTTGAATATTTAACTTTTTCTTAAACTCACAGAAACACTTAGTTATGCTATGTACTTCACATTTTGAAAAGAAAAATTAGGGGTTGGTGTTCATCGTTTTCAACTTCGTCCAGGGAACATCCTTAAGGTGACTTTAGTTCTTAATAAGAAAGGTAAGAATTTTCTGTCTTAATTTTGTGAGTAAAAGGGAACGATGGTTGTGATTTAAAATGCAAAATTGAAAGGAAATGAGTGGAATCAGCAAGGAATAAAGTAAACAGGCATGTAGTCAACACTCTAAATTGTATAGAAATGCAAGAAAATCAGACACTTCATTCAAATTTTAGAGAGAAAAATCATAGAATTAGCATGACTGAAGGCAGAGTTTAGATCCAACCAGCTATAAGTTCATTGCTTCTTTTGTTTAGTTTGAGGCAAACGTGAAGACAATATATTTACATAAATGTATTTCTGCAATATTTTGGTGAGGCAAACATGAAGACAATATATTTACATAAATGTATTTCTGCAATATTTTGGTGAGGCAAACATGAAGACAATATATTTACATAAATGTATTTCTGCAATATTTTGGTGAGGCAAACATGAAGACAATATATTTACATAAATGTATTTCTGCAATATTTTGGTGAGGCAAACATGAAGACAATATATTTACATAAATGTATTTCTGCAATATTTTGGTGAGGCAAACATGAAGACAATATATTTACATAAATGTATTTCTGCAATATTTTGGTGAGGCAAACATGAAGACAATATATTTACATAAATGTATTTCTGCAATATTTTGGTGAGGCAAACATGAAGACAATATATTTACATAAATGTATTTCTGCAATATTTTGGTGAGGCAAACATGAAGACAATATATTTACATAAATGTATTTCTGCAATATTTTGGTGAGGCAAACATGAAGACAATATATTTACATAAATGTATTTCTGCAATATTTTGGTGAGGCCAGTGAGGCATTTGCCTCGTCAGTTTTATGCCTAGTGTGTATCACAAGAGTATCAAAAGTGTAAATTGAACTTATATATGTTATTCTCAAGTCATCATGTACCTGAACATTTTAACTGAGAATATAATTGACAAAAAAGGACATAATGGAAAAACTAAATTTGAGATTAAATAAAAAATTCAAAGAAAGTAAAGTGTTTTAGAAGAAACTAATAAAAATTTGGCAAAATAATTTAGGGGAATTTCGGTTAAGTGAAACTAAGGGTTCTGTATAGAGCTGACAAGTTGTATGTACATTTATTTGATAAATGTATATGATTATTGGATCAATTATCATAGTAATTTTCCAGAGTTCCATAGTCACACAAATTACCCAGAGTTCCATTCTCATACAAATCACCCAGAGTTCCATAGTCACACAAATTATCCAGAGTTTCATTCTCATACAAGTCATCCAGAGTTCCATAGTCATACAAATTATCCAGAGTTCCATTCTCATACAAATCACCCAGAGTTCCATTCTCATACAAATCACCCAGAGTTCCATTCTCATACAAATCCCCCAGAATTCCACCCTTATACAAATTACCCAGAGTTCCATTCCGATATATCTTCTTCTACTCCATGACACAAATTTGTGCCTTGGGACAGAAATTTTTGTACCATTCTGTTCAGGACTACATGTATAATTGGCGATAGTTAGAGAACTATGCTATGTGAACATATGTTATACTGCCCACTCAACAATGTCTAAGACAATACACCGAGAACATAATAACTATTGTTTAAGCACATTAAGTGATTCAAAAACACAACTTGTATATACAGATTCAAAATGTTGCATTATTTAGTTTTATGAGAATTTTGAACTCAGTGAAAATTTAGAGATTTTTAAATCAGGTTATTTTTAAAAATATGTATGAGTTGTTGATAGAAATGATGGAATACTAGAACTACACGGAACAAGGATTACAAAAAACAAGAATTACACAAAATAAGGATTACTCAAATTGAACAAGGAATTTACAAAACCTGAAGCAATTTGAATTAAAATCCATTTTTATAATACCAAAATTACTCAAAACTTGAAAACAATAATTTTACAAATCAGCGCAGGAGAAACTATTGGAGCGTATAGTTGTACAACTAATAAACAATAATGACGTTCTACTACAGTTAGTATATATGCTTGCAATAGATGACGCGTAAATCGACCATAAATTGGTGAAAAATCTAAATTAGACAAAGAACTAGAACATACATGTATAATCTGCATCATTTACTGAGTTTTAAATTGGGACATTAGACCCTATTTAAGTGATCTAATCTGAAATGATCTGTTATATTCATTCTGTAGTAATGTACACAAACCCAGTGCCACGGATTAATCACTTGATTAGGGTGATTATGCGTGCATGTAATCTAGAATTGGCCGTGGATGGAATTGCGGTAATTGTGGAACACCCTGTACACATTTGAAATCTCGTTTGGAGGAAAAAAATTAATATAAAATCATGGTTTGTTGGAAAGTATCTGAATTAGTGAAGAACACCTTTTCACCAATCATAGCCAGAAATAAGCATGAGGAATAAATAAAGAATGTTTATATAAATAAAATGTGTCATGATTATATGATTTCAGATCGTCCTGGGAAGGCTCCAGATTCTAACCCACACGGTGCACTTATCGCTCAGATACAAGGTGGTATCAAGCTACGAAAAAGTCCTGGCCACAAAAGCGCAGGTTTGTTAGATATTTATTTGTAATGTCTGATTGATTTAACAACAAAAATTATTGTATACTTGAGTAAGTATATGATATGCATCAAGGGTAAAAATAGATGAGGTCAATGTAAATAGGTGAGGCGAATTCAAATAGGTGAGGCAAATTCAAATAGGTGAGGCAAATTCAAATAGGTGAGGCAAACAAAGTCCTGGCCTCAAAAGCGCAGGTTTGTTTGATATTTGTAATACCCGATTGCTTTACCAACAAAAACTATTGTATCAAGCAGGAATGAAACTTATAGCATTGCAAATTGGGGTATGGAGAGAGACGCATTCATATAAGGTCTAAATTTGGGTATAGAGAAAGATGCATTTTAATTTTGGGTACATAGAGAGGTGCAAGTTTTGGTATATAGAGAGGTACGTTTCATGTTTGGGTTAAAGGGAGGTACGTTTCATGTTTGGTTTAAAGAGAGTTATATTTCATGTTTGGGTTTAAAAGAGGTGCATTTCGTGTTTGGTAAGGTGCATTTCATGTTTGGGTATAAATTAAGGTGCATTTCATATTTTAGTGATGTGTGTTTCTAAATGGTCTGAAAGAAACACCGACAATAACTGTGAGTGCAAATACATCTATCCACAAGTTTATGTTTCAAAAATCTTAACTGTATGTTGAGTAACACATCACATCCAAGATTATTTTAAACTTTATCACATGTAAATCATTAATGGATTTGACTCTAGTGGCTTAAGACTTTGACTAGGGATTGGTGTACTCATGGTTCTTTGTATATCTCATATCAATGGCCCTGGCCCTTGGGTTATTATATCAAGGCCCTGGTGTTTCTTTTTAGGGCAGGGACTGGGGGGTGAGGTCCTTATATTTTTAAGAAATGATATTCCGAGCATGAACGTCAATTGAAAAATTCTTGGGTAAGATAAAAGTTTGTCTGACGAGTTGGAGTTTCTAAGTTCTGTGAAATGGGGATACTATTTGAAAATTAGAAACAGATGTTTTGGATGTTTCTGTGTTCTACTCTGAGGGTAAAAAGATTAAGCCCCCACCCCAACACAATGTAATGGTCTTGTTGTTATAGCAACTTTAATTACGTAAGCACAAGTGTGTGTAAAAGGTGAATGGCCAAAGTGTATATGGAAAAAGGAAAATTTAAGAGTCCAACTGGTCATATTGCAACAAACCCCCAACATCCCAAAACCATGTTATAACACACAAAACTCCCACTACCCCCCCCCCCACAATCCAGACACCATTATCACAATCCACAAATTGTATTTTCATTTCTAATTTTGTTTTTATGATTTATTACATTACTCTCTGAACTCCCATTACACTGTGAGAAATTAATTATTTATTTAGTACAGCATATTGGCTATGCAGGAAATTATAAATACATTCATGAATGAAAATCAAACTTAGGTTCAACTCAGTGAAATCAACCACTATATCAGGCAATGTCATGCAATTAATTTGTATTTTGTTGTGCGAAGGATTATGACGATGTCAGATGAGGGAAACTTGATGAAATGAAACGCTTTTATTCAAATAAACTGATCTTGTTTGTTAACATTTACGGAGAAGGAAATTAGGTGGTAAAGTCGAAATTTGGGATGTTTATTAAAAACATCTTTTCTGTTTCAGATGGTTCAGAGACTTCATCAGTGACATCAGAAGAATCTCCACTCTCCTCAGCTGGAGGTGCAAACAATCTTACCTCCATTTCTGAAGATCAACCTCCACCACCCCCACCTATTGATAGAATTCCAAAACAGACTCAAGGAGATCTTATGGAAGATTATCTAGAGACACAACAAACCCAAGGTATGCAACTGTTTCAAACTGATCTCTGGCTGGTGACATATGCAACCTTAGTTTTCTGTTCCATCGCTGCCAATTTATTGGATAAATCAGTGAAAATAGCTGTCCAACCTCGTTTTTAGAGGTGGCGTAACCGTCATGCTATAGCAGGGTGATGTGAGTCCTTTATAAAAAGGTAAGGAAAGGTGGAAACATGTATGGTTGCATCCAAGTTTGATGTCATTATATGAGTCTTGGTAAAATACATATATTGGTAACATGCATGTGTTGGTAACATACATTTATTGGTGACATACATGTACTTGTAACATGTATAAAGTCATTGTATTCAATTTTGGGGTAACAATCCTTCAAGGTTCACCTCTCACTTTGAAGGAAAATGGAAACTGAATAAATACTTTTGTTTTGCAATAAAAAATAAGCACTCTTTCCTTACATTCTAAGTCTGTAAAATAGCATGTTTCAACCAATCAGAACTGTGTTTTAATATAGTTAATGGAAACTATAACGATCTATAGCAGAACTTAACATATTCCGAGTTTTTATATATTTTAACAATATTATTATACATTTATGATAAACTGTATATTATTTATTGTATATTTTCAGCCAGTACAATGGAGAACAATGCCCATAATGCCAGTATGAATGGAGACCTTGGTAAGAAACCATTTCATTGGTCAATATATCTACATGGGTCTAATGCATGCTGTGTTTTCACAACTACCTTCAAAATCTGATTCAGTTTGATAGAACTGCCATCTATACAGGTGTTCAGAAACTCTTACCTCTTATGTTATCGTCATCTCTTTGGATGAGGTATAAAGGGGAGGAGTGTTTAGAGATGAGGTATAAATAAGGGTCTTGACGAGACGAAGAGTAAATGAGGGGTCTATTTTTATAAGGTATATGGTAAGGGATGTGCATGTTAAGATAAGATATAAGGCATTAAGAGTAGTTATTGGGTGTAAATAGTGGGGATCCAGTGTGATCAAATATAAAGGGATGTCTGTTTGGACAAGATATAAATGGGAAAGCATCATGAATAAAATGGGAGAGCATTGAGACCATGTATAAAAGGGGAGGGGTGTTTTGAGATATGGTATGAATATTAAAGGTCTTATGAGAACAAATAAAAAAGGGGTCCATTGAGAAAGGACACTTAGAATACACTGTTGCTCATAAATATGGAATATTTCATAATTATTAATTGTTTGGTATAATTCTTACAAATGATAATTATTTGTTAAAAATGTTTATTGCCTCCTGATTTCCTCTTCATATTTGCACATGAAACTGATTGTTATTAAAAGTAGCTCGTGGAGGTGGTTCTGTTCATATTTGAGGCGGTGTTCACCAAGGAGAGTCGCACCCCCTTGGTGAGTCTCAACCGTAATGTCAGCGCTGAGAGATACAGTGACCTTTTGGACCTACATCTAGTACCACATGCAAATAGAGTGTTTGGGCGTAACTTTCAACTGCAGCATGATGAAGCTCATGCACATGATAGTTGCATTATGCAGGATTTCCCCAGGGCAGGCAATGCGGAGCAGCTACCATAGACACCAAAGTCATCTGATCAGGCTCCTGCAGAGCACATCTGGGATGAGACTGATAGCGCAATTCGTGACACGGATAACCTATCTCAAAATTTAGCAGAGTTATATACTCCTCTGATTGAGTAATGGGACCTTATTTCGCGTATACAGGTCAGGCATCTCATTGACAGCAGGCCCCGCAGAATGGATGCTCTGATTGCAGCACTAGGAAAACAGACCGCATATTAGTGCTGTTATGGGATAGAGGACTCATTCATCTTCATGACCTGGTGTTTACTTTGTTTGATCCGCTTTACATTAAAGTTTGGATCGGGGTGTTTTGACAATGCAAAAACTTTTTAGACTTCCCCATTTTAAACGACAGCAAATTTCTAAACTTAAATATAAATATTTTTTTCCTATAAAATGTTAAATTGTAGATTAAATATGTGTTTATGATTTGCCTAGAAAAGAAATTGCCTAAACGACTCCAAATAAATGTTGTCTTCATCCAAAACTTGAATTCTGATCTGACAAATATAATATTCCATATTTATGAGCAACAGTGTAGGTGTAAAAAAATCATTAAGGCAGAATTGGAATTAACAAAAGTTTGTTAAAAATCTTATTAGACACTACACCTGTTAACTCATCTCTTAATTGACATTAGATAACGAGTCATTAATGAGAATTGTGTTACATAATAATTATAATTATTTGATTTAATTGTGGTTTATGTCACCAACAATATGCTGATAGAAATCTTTTTAAAGTACATATGCCTAAAGGCATAATTCACCAATTTTTCACTTCTGCTGGCTAAAATATATTTTGGACCATCCATGCAAAGTTTGATATATCCTGTTTTGACTTTTTATGAAAATTTTCAAATGGAAATTACCCAAAATTCAAAAGTATTTCAAATAAGGGCTTAAAGGTGTTACCCCCTCCCATCAGTTGAGAATTAGAATCACATACATTACTGTGAGAAAAAAATGTTAGAATGGTCATGTTTTGAAATGCAAAATATTGTGAAAAGGACAGGAATTAGCAAGGAATAAAGTAAACAGGTATTTAGCTAATACCCTAATTGTATAGAAATGCAAAAAAGTGGACGTTTCTTTCAAATTTTAGAGAAAAATGGTGCGAAATAGACATAACTTGAAAAATATTTTGCCAAGGATATGTGAACCTTTTTAGTATTCAACTAACCCTGCCTAATGGTTATAAATAGAAAATAGAATTGTGTGTTGCAGACACATTATTGAATAACAATAAGTCTGCACTAATTACTGTAATTATGTCATAATTTAATTGCTAATTATGTATGGTGAATATACTTTAAAATTATGAAACAAAATTATATCAAACTTGACATTTTCAGACATTTTACATATCACCACATTCATTTGTTTATTTCCCCACATTCATTTGTTTATTTCTCATTTTCCTTGCTATTTCATGCAAATATGGTACTTTGAACGTATTGAAATGGTTAGAATTATCATGGATATTTCATCGATTGTCAATTATAGTTTGTTGTTCTTTGTCACAGATGTTTGTAACATATGGTCTTAGAAAGGTGGGGCAATAAAATCATGATAAATTACAGTGTCTAAGTCACAACCACCTCAACCTGACAAAATACAACAAATATTTGTAATTTTTCACAAATATTTGTAATTTTTCTCAAATACTTCGAAAGGTTCTCATCAAAACACTAGATTTAGGACTGGAGACTTACAGTCTACAAATCTCGTTCAAATTTTTTGAGCAATTCACAAGATTTTGTGAATTATAAGGACATTTATAAAAATTAGCAGACGGACATGGAATTTGAAAACAAAATGGCTGGTGATGAAATGTTTGAGGAAGTTTCAGAGGATGAATGTAGTGCTAATGAAAGTATAAAAAGCGATAATGGATATAGCTCTGAAATTGTCATAGAGATGTTAGAAGATGGTAGCTTTACATTTGGTAGGAACCAGCATTGATTATCTTTTATTTTTTTATTTCATTTTTCTATTTCAGAGAAGAAAAAACATGATTATCTTTTATTTTATATATTGACAATTATGTAAAATCGGAATAATGTCTTAAATAATGTCAAAAGCATAAAAATAAATAAATAACTTTCTCTTCTATTTTATAAGTTATCTTATGATTATATAATACTACCTGAACCTAACTATTATATACTTCATTAATTGGGCCTCAATATAATTGATAAATATAAATGTTTTCTGGTAGTTTTGTCTATCAACATAATGTATTGAACCCAAGAACCCCCCTCCCTTTGAAATTCATTCATTTATACTGGTTCTTATGCATTATTTGAGGAGCAATATGACATTTCATACAACATACAATTATGGCTTTTTCCAACATACAATAAATATATCATTTCACTAAACATACAATGTACATTTAACTGCAACATAATATCATCAATCTTTATATTTTACAGACGTGACGCAAGTACCAGGCTATCAACCAATTCCAGATGGCGCCCCAGTATGGCGAAAAGCTCTCCTAGAACGCAAAAATAAAGAAGCAATCGAAGCATTTAGGGTAAGTACTTGTAGGTAAATTAAAAACAAACTTCCAGAGTCAATAGTCCATCTTCCCATCTCTAAAACTTGAAGATAGTCAAATAATATGAACCTATTATCGCCCACTAAAATTCTAAATAAATATTTGACTTACTGCTTAAACATAGATTGAAAAATCTCTATTTGACCTAGCTACTGAGAAAAATGTAAATGTTACATCATATGAGTTTATATGGCTCTGCTAATTGCTTTTTGGGATTTTTAAGGAGATGGAAAATGTAAAATGATGGAAGTATACCTTTTCAAAAATCATAAATACTAATATACTGTATTAACATGTACAATATGTTGATATATCATTAATGTGTACAATATGTTAATATGTACAATATGAAAGCAAAAATAAAGAAGCAATCGAAGCATTTAGGGCAAGTACTTGTAGGTAAATTAAAAACAAACTTCCAGAGTCAATAGTCCATCTTCCCAAATGTGTACAATATGTTAATATGTACAATATGAAAGCATTAACATGTATTAAACATTAACATGTACAATATGTTTATATATCATTAATGTATACAATATGTTAATATGTACAATATGAAAGCATTAACATGTATTAAACATTAACATGTACAATATACTTTAATTGTAGAAAGAAATAGAAGAAGAGCAGTCTGAGAAAGCAAAATGGAAAAATATTCCTGCTTGGAAGAAAAATTTAATCGAAACAAAAGAAAAGAAAAAGGTGGAAGGCTCGGTAAGAAAAAGTTTATATCTGTTTTTATTAAAGGCCAATAATCAGACTTGATTATTTTGATTTTAGAAACATTTGCTATACATAAAAATTAAGCTTCTATATTTAATACTAGTTTTTACTAGATATGCTCCACAAATGTTAATGAATATATTGTTCTAATTTTAAATGTATGTATTTGTTGCAATGCTTTGGAAATTTAGGTGATATTTTTTCCTTTCCTATTTAAGTGCACTTCATTCTCTTAATTTCACTGCAATGATTTTTTATTTCTTATTTAATTCAAGTCTCAAATGTGACTTGAGATTACGTCTTCTCTTTGTTTGTTTGTCTCACTGTATATCTTAAACTTTATTTTCACACAAATGAAAACCCCTGTTCATCAGAACCATGCTCATAACAATTTTACGGGGGTTCATGTTAATAATTTACACCATTCAGTCTAGCTCTAGCTTGTGCCTTGCTTTTGGTGAATCAGCTTTTTTCCTCATGAGTGATGACATTTCTGTGCATTTTCTTTATTCAGTTTTTGATGCACTGTACTTCTAGATTTGCAGCATATCAAAACAGTCCAAGGTAGCACTCATTGGAGCACAGGTTATAAAAGCATGATTTTAGCACTTTTATTGCATCACAAAAATGTCAAATTGATTGCATCACAAAACTGTTTATTTCGTCACAAGAATGTCTGTTCCCAGTTGATGAATTGAAGACCCCTATGAATAAAAGTAATATTTTTTTGTAAAGTCATTCAAAATTATGCATGGGACCATGGGCCTTTCTCTTGAAAGCCCATGATGGGAAATATGATTGAAATATGAAAGTCAAAATCCTTAATTTACGGCCGTTTAATTTGGCTTAGTTGGCGGTTTGATGAAAACCAAATTAAGCCTCCACCAATTTTTGAAAAATCCCCAGAACTTTTTGGTCTCATTGAGAGTTCTTTCAATATTTTGAATGTAGCCCCATTTTTTACATTTTAGCTCGTATATGAACACACCCTGTGATCAGAAAAAAATGAATGCTGTGAATAAGTTACAGACACTTATATAATAACAGCAAACAAACAAACAATATTGGTTATTTATGTATTTATTTATTATGATTTATTCAATGCCTATATCTTAAGTACACAGATGTCCAAGTTAATGAAAATCAAAACAATTAGTCTATACAATAACAAGGTACCAGAGTTTCTCACAAGTAGGCCCATGGGCATTTATTTGAAAGATCTAAGGTATATTACTTTTCAGTTCACCCTACTTATCTTAGCTTTATCATTCGTTATACCTCCGCTTGGGGTTGTCACCAAAACGGGGATTGTCCATGAGAAAATATTATACTAATTAAGGATTTAAGCCCTGGACCCAGTGCAATGTGGAATGACCATTCCTTGAAGGTGTTGCTTTCCAAAATTTGGCAAGGTATCAATTTCAATTTGTAGAGTCCAGTCACCACCATTTTAACTAGTGACCTTGAGTTATTGGTTATGTTACAGAATATTGTGTTCTAATTGGGTGGAATTGGACACACCTTGCCTAGCCATGTGTGAATTGAGTTTAAGCAAAGCTGGAGTGAATACATTTTGATAAGAAAATCTTCAAAACAGTCCACAGGACATATGCCACATGGCATTGTGTTTATTGTTCACTTTCTCTCCTTTACAACGATGTTGAATGGCCCAGGTAGATTATTTAACCCGTGAACAAACTTGGTTGGGTCTGGATCTGGTGGGTTGTTCTTGTCTTCAGGGAGAATGTCCAGTTTTTGTAGTACACTGGTGACAAACAGGAACATTCTCACTTTGGCCATTGCTTCTCCTAAGCACTCTCGTTTACCAATTCCAAATGGTAGAAATCTAAAGAAAACAAAGGGAAACATAAGAAAGTCAACCCAGTCCTTTATAGACCTCCAAACACAAGGCTATTAGGTTAAAAAATCATAGCAGATATGTAAATGCAACGGAGAAAGCAAAGGGCATAAACCTGAAATAACACATATGAAATCTGTATTTGTATGATTAGAGAAAGCAAAGGGCATAAACCTGAAATAACACATATGAAATCTGTATTTGTATGATTAGAGAAAGCAAAGGGCATAAACCTGAAATAACACATATGAAATCTGTATTTGTATGATTAGAGAAAGCAAAGGGCATAAACCTGAAATAACACATATGAAATCTGTATTTGTATGATTAGAGAAAGCAAAGGGCATAAACCTGAAATAACACATATGAAATCTGTATTTGTATGATTAGAGAAAGCAAAGGGCATAAACCTGAAATAACACATATGAAATCTGTATTTGTATGATTAGAGAAAGCAAAGGGCATAAACCTGAAATAACACATATGAAATCTGTATTTGTATGATTAGAGAAAGCAAAGGGCATAAACCTGAAATAACACATATGAAATCTGTATTTGTATGATTAGAGAAAGCAAAGGGCATAAACCTGAAATAACACATATGAAATCTGTATTTGTATGATTAGAGAAAGCAAAGGGCATAAACCTGAAATAACACATATGAAATCTGTATTTGTATGATTAGAGGCTATTAAGGTCAGTACGCTATGGTGGCCATAGAGGTCAAGGTCACATTAATAGGACAGTTGTGAAACTGAATATCATATGTAATAGTACAATAACGTCATTTCTAAGGGCGATATAGTGAAATATTGGACCGAGGGCCGAAGGCCACCACTATGACGTCACACATTTCTCAGGTCGATATAGTAAAATAAACGCCTTCTAAACTAGCACTAAAACCCCTAGAACTGGCCCGGCAAGGTGGTAATAATAGGGGTTCGTACTAAAGCCTGCGTCAAATATGTTGAGATTACCAAAGATCAATACCATTCCTAAAATGTCAATTACATTTCAAAATGCTGTATGGGCATTGCATTGTAAAACTTCTTGAGTCACTTTGTCTCCAAAATTAGCATTGGGCTACAAAATCAAATTAAAATGATCAGACTTTCATTCAAAATTGTGGTATGATTTATAATAGCAGAACAAAAATGTTACCATAGAAACTTCACAGATATTGTCACTGTTGCATCAGTATGACTTACGATTTTCGTTCATGTGCTGACAGAAGTTTGCCATCATCATCCATGAATCTTTCCACATTGAATTCATATGGTTCATCAAAGTACTTCTCATCATGGTGTAATGCCCATAGGTTCATCCAAACCTTGTCAAACAAATAACAAAAGTAATATTTCTATTGAATTCTACAAAACATTGACTACAGATATCTGACAGTATACCCCATCTGAAACAGACTTGAGATAACTTTAACTTAAACTTGCAGCTCTACCCATTATCCTTTTCCGAGACATGAATTTACTTTTTAAGTTTCTCTTACCATTGTTCCACGTGGTACTTTGTAACCACCCACACTGGTGTCACATAGGGTTTTATGGGGGAGAGACAACGACGTAGTTGTGCTGTAGCGAAGAATTTCCAGAACTGCAGCTTCTGAATATGGCATGTTATGCCTATCAGCGAAAGTTGGCAGTCGGCCATCACCAATGACATCATCAATTTCAGCTTGTATTTTTTTCTGCACGTCAGGTTTGTTGACCAAAATCAAGAGAAATGCTTTCAAAGTTGTGGATGTCGTCATTATTCCTATTCAAAAAATACAAACACAATACTGTAGATACACTTGATTTGATGCTACTTAATTTGGCTGATTTGCTCAATTTCAAATATTGGCGGCTATTTAATTTGGCGGAGTCGGGACTGAGCTCAAGTTTTATCATAGATCTGGAAATAAACATTTTAGATTCATGTGTTCTGCTTTCAGCAAGTCTTGGTATAGCACTGACATCCAAATAGGAAAATACTTACACAAGTGAAATAATTGCAAATTACAAATTCTCTAGGGATTTTCTAAAAAAGATCTTAAATTTGGCAGGTTTTTTCAATCCACCAATCCACCAAATTAAAACAGTAGCCAAATTAAGTGTATCTACAGTATCTGGATTCCATTTCACAGAATCATGTACAGTTCATGTATTGGGTTACTTGTGATGAATGGAAATTTCAACTTACTCTTGACAAATTGCATAGGGTGACCATAACCTTTTAATGGTAGATGGATTAAAAACAATTGATGTATCATTATTTAGAAAATGATGGTTTGAAAGTGTGACATATTTAAGTGAGGCTGACAAATACATATGAAGTATCTACTCAGAATGACGAGTGATTTGAAAAAAAATGTTCAAAGGACGATTCTCGGTTTGGAGAACGAAGTTCATCAATCTAAATGAGCATTATCCCTGCTTCGGACAAATTTGATTTTTTTACATAATATAGATTTGAATGTCTTCTTTTGAATAGTCATAATTTAATTTGGGTAATATTTCTAGATTTTTCGCAAAAAAATATTAGCGCAGTACACTGATGAACTTCTTTAATTCCCCAAATCGAGACTTGTATTTTATTGAATCGGTCAAATTGAGCCTTATCCCCGCTTCAGACCAATTTGTTATTTTTACATCTTGTAGATTTAAATGTCCTCTTTTGAATATTCATAGTTTAATTTGGGTAATATTTCTATATTTTTCATTAAAAAAAATATTAGCCCAGGACACTGTTCTCAAAACCGAGAATCGTCCTTTGGTTGGACTTGGTACTTTGGGGAGTTGCCATTTTATAGTTTACCAGCTAAAAGTAGGTCTTGCATAACTCCATAGACCTCATCTTTTGTGATGTCTCCTTGTTCATTATGTTGTTGCAGCACCTCGCTTACACTTCTACACTCTTCACTGTGCAAGCTCAACTGATAAAAATGACAAATGACATTAATTCTACACTCTTCACTGTGCAAGCTCAACTGACAAAAAATGACAAATGACATTAATTCTACACTCTTCACTGTGCAAGCTCAACTGACAAAAAATGACAAATGACATTAATTCTACACTCTTCACTGTCCAAGCTCAACTGACAAAAAATGATAAATGACATTAATTCCACACTCTTCACTGTGCAAGCTCAACTGACAAAAAATGACAAATGACATTAATTCTACACTCTTCACTGTGCAAGCTCAACTGAAAAAAAATGACAAATGACTTTAAATGAATTTCCCTTGCCAAACCATTTCTCTCATGATATGGTAGCTGTAACCATATATGTACTTTCCGTGTCTAGCAAAACATGGGGAAATGTTTTGATATGGTCGATCATTAAAAAATGTAGCGCCTATTTCCAATGTCATCGACTCTCGACTGTATATAACAATGCAAGTCAGCTGACACTCTTACCTTTCAAAAAGTATACTGGAACATGATGACAAATTGGACTTTGAACCATCTCTTTGCTCAACTATGTAATTTTCAATAACAACTGCTAAAAACTCCTCAACCTTTAAAGTTTTTAAACTTAAGTATCAGTGGCTTATGTCATACAATGTTTGAAATATAGACTCGACTGCCAATATTCTCTTTCCAGAATCCATTAGTCTGTTCTTGTGTATACTGAGCAGTTGGGGAGGGATATCTAGTTTTCCATAAGCAAAGACATAATACATGTGTGTGCTATCATTTGCAATTTTGACCTAGAGAGCTCACAAACACTTAGTATTATATGAATGGGCCCATAAATTAAGAAAGTAAATTATGAAACTGTTAAAAAGATGGTTGCCATTATTTGGGAGAATTTAAACATTTTTCCTCGTTTATGAATTCTTTTTCTTTATAACTGTTCAGGTGAGACATGGCCACAATACTATTACTAGAAAAAAAGAAAAATTTGATAAGCTTAAAGTTCTCATTGTTATATTCCAATGTATAGCTAAAATAAACAAATAATAGTGTTCTTAAACAAATAATAGTTTTCTTAAACAAATAATAGTTTTCTTAAACAAATAATAGTTTTCTTAAACAAATGATGGTTTTCTTATTCAGCACTTTGTCTTTTTCCAACCTTACCTTGTTCTCAGCTTTTTTCATCCAAGAAGAAAACAATTTATTTCGCTTCACAACAAATTCCTTTAAAGTTTTGAAAGTTTCGTTTCCGAAGAATCTGAGCCAAGGAAACGTGTCGAGCTCAGCGCCTGGTCCTGATGGTGTAATACTTTTACCGATCTCTACCATGAAATGCACTGAATGGAAGGCTTCTGAGTTCTCATCAATGCGTTCTCCAACCAGCTTAAATTGAAAAATGTAAAATGTACATTAAACTCTCAAGGCTTGCTCTATGGATATAATGCATGAGTATGTATGTACTCATTCTTTAGATTTTTATTCTGGTCGTGGTGTTTTCTTTTGAGCTACATGCATGAGGTCAACAAATGGGTTGATTTGGTTGTCAGACAATTTAAAATGTCATTGATTGACTTATAAGGGGAGATTCTGGCAACTTAACAATTTGACGACTAGGTTTGAATTGAATTTATTTACATGTACAGGGTGTCAATTTGTGCTGTGATTTGATATTTAGTTTGCCTTGGTGCCTTCCTCGGTATTGGCTGTGTAGGGGGAAGGTCACAGCGCAAATTGACACCCAGCTGTACAGTCGTTGCATTTCTGATCTAACATTAATTTCAGTGGTCATCTTAAGAGCTTCATTTGTTGAACTCAGTTGTGAGGCACTTGCCGAAGGATAAGGAAGAAAGAATTTAGCACTTTTTAGTTGAATTGAGTAAATTCTCTTGGTAGTGGTCGGCTAACTTACCAGACTAGACATGATATTTGCTATGCAGTTAACAACATCTTCTCGGGGGTCAAAGGGAGTATCACCATTACTTTTGAATCTCATAATACAGTCTTGGATTTCATCAGATGCCAATAAAGCAATTCTGTCCATGCCATCTCCAAATTGCTTTAGGCCTCGATGAGCAATTTTTCTAACTTTTTTCCAGCCTTGAGACAAATCTCGAAATCCAATGTCTTTATCACCTCCAGGAATAAGAAAGTTGAGTCTCCATGAATGCGGTCGTCCTGCAAAATCCTCTAATAATAGGGCTTCTCTTACAACATCATTTTCATTCAACACCACGATTTCTTCATTGAATATTTGAATTTTAAAAACACCGCCATATTTCTTACTCCATTTGTGTAACTGGACATACGGAGTTTGAGGATCGAGTTCAAAGGCATTACCAAAAATGGGCACTCCTTTTGGACCCGGAATGTCCAATCGTTTCAAAACCTTCTTTTGTATAATCCACAATAAAATGAGAGAAAATACGAAAATAATGACTGGCAGCATTTTGGATGATTGTAAATCTTCGTTTTGGCCTTTCATACAAACTCTTATCTTTGTTGTTACATAGTTTACATAATTTTCAGTTATAAATTAACCCAAGAACATCATATATATATAGGTTATTTACTGGGAGGGATTGAATATGGATTTTATTCCGAGGGACAATATGATATTGACCGAAGGGTAATATGATATTGACCGAGGGAGCGCAGCGACCGAGTGTCAATATCATATAGCCCAAGGTCAATATCATATTTTCCGAGGAATAAAACCCATATTCAATCCCGACCAGAAATAACCTATTTATTCCATAATACACCCCTCTAAAATGCTACATTTGGAAAATGCAGATAACTAGGAAAAAATAACCGGGAAACCGAAAATAGGTTAATATGCTCCAATACGATTTTTCCCGGGGACAATACGATTTTTTCATGTAATACGCTCCAATACGATTTTTTCCCGGGGACAATACGATTTTTTCATGTAATACGATTCAATACGATTTTTATTCCTTCATATTTCCCTGGGAAAACAGTAGTATTATGGAATAATATGTTTTATAAGCACCCTTCAGTTAAATTACACATGTTCAAACTTCAAATTACATGACAGATATTAAGTCCTCCAAGACGATGAATTTGACAAACAGATTCGCTCAATATTTTGGTTTGCCACTGAAATAACATTTTTAGAATGTGTTTTAATAATTTTTTATAATACTGTACTGGTCCCGAAAATGGCTAAGGTGATAGAATGATAATATCAAACCCCTTGGCCCTGCATGTAAGGCGTTGCCTAATCAATTTCCAAGATACAGTTTTCATAAATTCATGATGTATTTTATTGCTCATTTTGATGTAGCATTGCATCAAATGCTTCCATAAAATAAACTGTATTCTAAGTTATCACAGGTATCAACATGTCATACAGGTAATATTCCACAAGTTTGTCAAAAAATATCATCACAAGTTGCGTGGGTCAGAACCTATTTGTTACCAGTATATTGAAGTTGTGGCGTCAGAGCAATACCCATAATGTCCACCAAATTAAATAACCACCAATACGTCAGAAATGGCAGGCCCATAGCTATGTAGGGGGTCAGGGGTGTGAGACCTCCCCCTGGCCAAAAATTATTTTTAAATCATGCAGATACAACATTCTGAACAAAATGGTCAAATGTGAACCCCTGGAATTTTAAAAAAGTGAAGCCCCTTGGTAAAAGTTGACTAAGGGCATGCTCCTATACCTCCCGCCCTCCCTACCAGATGAAGAAATATTTTAACTGTCAACACCTGTAAACACCCCTAAAGAAATGCACTATTTGTTTTCAGGAAATGGATGCAGATGAAAGGAGGAGGATGGAAGAAGAGAACAGAAGACTCCAGTCTATGCCAACATGGAAACGAAATCTTGTTTTGAAAAAGCGAGATGGCTAGATATACCCATGACATTTAAACAATTAATATCAATCAAAATGTTTTGACTGCATTTTGAACTCATAATAATGCGACACTGGAAAATTAAGGATTGTTCAGAATATTTTAATATGAAATGGATTGGACGATAGTGTGCTGCCACCTATTTGTCAACTGTGCTGCCATCTGTGGGTAGAAACTGAATTATGGACAGTTGTCATGGTAACTTTGTATACATAGTGATAAAATCAGCTGGTGAAGATCAATATACGGAAATAAATTTTTATTTAGATTTATTTATTTAGGACAAATATATTAATTCTTTAATCCAGGGTGAAATTATGAAACATTCCTCAATTTTGAAATCCCAAATCGATTTCGTTACTGTGACTTCATCATTGCCTTGGTAACTATGCATACAATATATATAGGGATTTTATGTTTAGCCTATTACAAAGGTACAGACTAGATTCTGATAAAATGTACAAGTCCAAATATTGAATGACAGGGCCAACCTTAAAATGTACAAAATTGTATTACAGATCCAACCTTAAAATGTACAAAATTGTATGACAGGTCCAACCTTAAAATGAACAAAATTGTATAACAGATCCAACCTTAAAGCTGTTTATATTTCTAACCATGACATAACTCTAATGGAGGTGAAATCTGTTGATATCAAAGCAGTGTCTCTACTAATGTCTATCTAAATTTTATATGATAAGGGGAGATATAGAAATTGGTGAAAATGAATGTTATATAGATTTCCATATGCTATTATACATTTATCCAACATTTATTCACTCTTACGTCGAGATATGATATTTTCCTCACTCTTGAGCTTTCACAATAAGAGTAAATAAATGGAAAGATATTGTGCTTACAAAATCGCAATTCGAGATATCTTATGTTAAATGATAACGTGTTATCTTATAAAACAGTGGTTAACAGTTTGCATGTATATCAGTACATGTGTCTATTTACATTTAAAATTGTAAATAATTAGAAATGTAAGTAATGATTATTATGCAGTCTGTTGACACTAATTTTGCATATTCATTTTTTTTTAATGTGATGTCATTTGAAATCTAGGATGAATTGTATGAGATGTTAAGGCAGTATCCAAATATAAATAGGTGAGGCAAACTTAAATAGGTGAGGCAAATTGAAATTTAAGCCAAAGTGAACATTACTATATTGTGACTTCATCAATGTTCATAGGTGAGGCAAACTTAAATAGGTGAGACAAATTCAGATACGTGAGGCAAAGAGGATATTTTAATTGCATGGGACATAATATTTACAATTTTAGTTGAAAAATATAAAGATATTTTCTCCGACAGTTTTGGCAAGGAACTGGCTCATAGCTAGCTACACCAATTAGATGTTGTTTTTAGTCTTAAAGTATTCATTTTGTACTCATGTACTTTAATTTTAATTTACAACGGCCATCAAAACTGTCTAAATTGAGATACTTTGATGAATTTATAAGCATCAGTTAAAGAGAAACTCTGGCCAAAAGGTGTCCACATTTTGAAGAATACCGTTTATTGAGGTGTTTACATAGGTTTACTCTATTTACACTATTATCTGTAACAATGTACAGTATTTATCATTTCATCATTCAGTTTTTACATCAGATTCTGATTATAAGGTTTTATCTACTTGGTTGAAAGAAAGATGGCAGCGAAGTGGTCTATATGAATCATACTGCCATCTTTCTATCAATACAGAATCTATATTTTTAAATCTAAAGATTTTAGTGTTAGCGCCAAATGTTTTTGTATGTATGTTGTTCCCTGTTTTGGCTCAGGCCTTGCATCAAGAGAAAAATTTTGATTTTATCAAATTAAATGCCACGTGTGCTAGCACGAATTGTGCACTCATTTTTTCAATTTGTGCTGATTTGGCATGAAAAAAGATGATCACTAATTCTGTATAGTTATTTTGGCAATGTATACTAAAGGTTATGGGCCTATAAAATAAGAGTCTCAAATTGTAAGTCATCATTTCAATGATAAAACCAGCATCACAAACTTACCAAATGAATTAATGCACTATTTTTATTTGGCCTAGAGATTTTGCTGTTAAAATATTGAACCAACCAAGAATTGTGTTAAGTTTAGCTGCAAACATGAAAAATTATGTTAGCAGTATATAAATGTTTATTAATTTATGTACTATGTATAGGTACAGTGAATAGTAATACATAATAATAAAACATTAACAAAACGTGCATTGTCATGTTTTATATTATAAGCATATTCATTAAAATATTTCCCAACATTCTAAACGTGTATCTCAACTTCAGGCCCGTAGCCAGGATTTGCCAAGGGGGGTTCATTTTTCAAAAATTTCCAGGGGGGGTTCACATTTGACAATTTTTGCCCAAATATGGCTAAAATCACTTGAGAAGTGCGAGAAATGTGAGAGAAGGTGAAAAACTGCATGATTTTGAAAGAATTTTTGGCCGGGGGGGGTCCCGAACCCTGCGAACCCCCCCCCCCCCCCTGGCTACGGGCCTGAACTTCAACCCATCTGAATTGTGAAATAACTTTAAAAAAGTCACAAAGTCACATTTTTATAAAGTCACTTGTATAGGAATCTAAATCTGAGATAGTTTGTGACTGAGTTACAATGAGCGCACGTGTGACTTTTTATGTTGAATATGGTCTCAAGAAAAATTGAAAATTTAATGGTTTCGATTATTCACACAGCGAAACATCCATTGATGATTATATTTAATGCAGAGAAAGAAATACTGGAGCGCTGTAGAGAATGTAAACCTTAATGAAAACAACTAAAAGGAATATCAGCGATATTTTTCTACTTTTTGTATGTGCGCTTATTGGAATCTCTAACTAGTTCTAAAATTTCAATTGGAAATCGCACTGTGCGCTAGTTGGAACGTAAAAAAATTTTGGAAAAATATAGAGGGGTCGTTCAACAGAAATCTCTGCCGTTTGAATGCAGCTCAGTAAAAAGTAGAATTCGGTCAGTCGGAGCATTTTTACGTTTAGAGAGAATGGTCGATTAACTTTTGACATCTTGAAATTATCATCTTTTAACAATTCTTCACAATTAGTACCCATGCATGGAAAGTTTTTTTTATTGTAGTTTCTTTATTTAACACAAATCCATGTATCAAAAAGCAAAAGCCTTTTCTGGGTCACCGCGAATGGCATGATTTCCTCGAGTCTCTTCAGTTGCATGGCAACCATACTGGGACCGATTCGCGTCGTTCCACTACTGCCCTTGGTGGGGGCCCGCTACCATACTATATGACTCCCGGAGTTTACGAAAGCACGTTAGTGGAGGAACCAACCACAGTCTCACAATCTGTCTCCGGCAAGAGCGGCCAGAGAACCAACCCATGCCAAGGGCCGGTAAACGGTTGGACCTTCGGACCGGGTGTCCGTAATGACAATGATCAACAACTCCGTACCTGGGGCTCGAACGCGGGACCTCCGTATCCCACGACGTTCAACCGCAAAGTAACCTCAGTCTACGCCACTAGGCTACCCTGCTTAGGTGTCAGAACTGCTAGAAAATAATGTAGTTGTTACAATTATTTTGCTTGGCTGAACTAATACCCATGCCTAATTAGTCCAATATCTAAATGGTTTAATCGGGATAGAAGTTTGAAAGCAGTTCCAAACGCCCTCCAATTCAAGATTCACCATCAACTCTTGCAAATGTGTACGACCTGTAACATGATCATGTAAATAGATGGTAAAAGAAATCGAGATCCAACTATGAATATCAGGAAGGGAAAACATTCCAATTTTTAGACTTATTTCGTGTATTTGGAACGTTGTTGCATTTGTGCTCAAATATTAATTACGTCTCAAAGAAAATGAAAAGGTATCACCAGCTGACAGTGAAAACAACGTTCCGTATAAAGATATGCCAATATTGGTCAATACCACGATAAGTGAATAGATTTGGGTGAATTGTGTCAAGGAAAAATTAGCTATTATGGCAAATTACTTCAAAATCAATCCGATTGCGTTAATTACGAACACGGTATTACGACATGTAGAACGAATCGTATTCAAATATTTCAGATTCACTCCATTTCTCAATGATCTAAAATCGGTTCAAATGAGTCGAAAACAAAATCATAGTTTTTTGAAATTACTTCAATTAGTTCATTTCCGCAGAGATGTCTCTGATTTCCGAGAGAAAACATCTGGCCTTGTCTCTCTCGTCGTCGTCGTCGTCGTCGTCGTTGTCGTCGTCTACGTCTGTCGTCACCTTGTTTTAGATCCATGTATCATTTTGTTGGTTATAATACCTATCTAATAGTTCTTCAACTGAGTCCAGAGCTCCCTCCATCCATTGTGAATTACTATAGCAACTCCCAACTATATGCACGTTTGCATCTTCAAAAGGTTTGATCATTTGTTTGGAAATGATTTCCAAGTTAGCGCCGGCCTTCCAGGAATAGAGAGATGCCCCTTTCCAATAATGCATTACGCCTATGTACGGACGTGCTAGGTCTTTGGGACGTATAGTTGATGTATCTCTGCAATCTGGTTATGGGCCTCAACTAAAATTGCCTCTGATATGTTGTATTCACTTACAAGCATGTTGGTAGCTTGAGGCGTGGCTAGGTGTGGTTGACTATTTAAAAATGAGTCATCCCAGAATGACGCACGTGGGTAACCCGAGTTAACCAACAACATTGATTTCCTGTTAACGTCTTGCAATGTATCAGAGGAGGGTTTATCTTGGCCCATGTATAGTATCTGACCAACAGGAAGGGTGGACACAGCCCTCCCTGTTGTGAATCCTAGTCCCTCCCACCATGGCTCCTCGTAGCCAAGGTACATTTCAAAAAACTCTTGTCCAAAGACAGCATTAAGACGATAGTCGATGAAATCCTGATTTTTAAAAGGTTGCCAGTCGATGTCCATGAGAGCATCTTTATGTAGTGCTAAGATGACACGTTTGGCACACACGGTCGTCTGTTTCTGAAAAATACAGTTGGTTTGGATACAGGGAATATCCCTTGGGATATACAATATATCTTCCCTCGGTCCCTTCCGGCCCTCGGGAGGATATATTGTTTATCCTTCAGGATCTCCCAGTGCATAACCCCTGTGTTTTCACCTGCTTAATACTTTTTTATGACAGCATAAAAGTTGTAGGGCCTATTTTGGCTCTTTGTTTTATGTCACCACCACAATTAGTGACATATTGTTATAGTCTCCAACTTTGTGACGGTCGGCGTTCGAAGATTCGCGTCTGTAAAAAATGGCAGGTGGTGACATTTTCCCTAGCCTGTTAATGTGTTGCTTTCCAAAATTTGCACGAGATACTCAGCATCGCGTGTTAGCCCAATTTTAGGAAACAACCCCTAAAATGAATGGTCATTCAACAATGCATTGAGTCTTGGGCTTACATTCTTTTCACAATTTGCAAAATATTTTCTACCAGCATGTTATATGTCACTTCAAGGATACGAAATCACTAAAAGAAAATATTTTCAGTGAACCTTTTTCCAAGGGTCAAGTTGGTAAAACATCAATTTCAATCTGCAAAATCAAGTTATCACCTTAACAACCATACAGTGAATGCGTTATTCGTTATATTTATATAGTGCAGTGATGTGAAATATTGTGTTCGGATTGGCTGGAATCGGACACACCTTGCCTAGCTATGTGTGAATACATAATCAACTCACCTCAGTATCTGATGTGATATAGCTGGTTGTTGTTTTTTGAAATGTTAACAGTTCATTCTTCCCTTGCTTTTTTATGCGTATCAACTTATGGTTCATGTGCACTTTATGTCCGAAAATTTCATTTCATTCAATCAAAGTATAATGCTCCAATGCTTTTCAATGCTGCTCGGTGGCACCAGTAGAACATATATGGCTATAGTTCAACAAGTTAAACCCAATACCACGACTTTCATTTATTAATCTGAGTGCTCTTGTTGCCGTGGTTGGGTTAGACTTCCGTTCTATGCTTTCGATTCATTGGTTGCAAATTCTCACTATCTGTTATTAATGTAATGAGACCTTACTAGGGGTATTGATGGTACTGAAAATATAGCTTAGCCAAAAGAACAAAGGACAGAGGGTATTTACAAGGATAACAATCGGATAAAATCAACACGGTTTACAACATCAAATATTTATTTACAACATATAACAATACATGCATACAGTAATATAAAACGATAAGAGATAAAATGGAAATGCTAATAACGAGATCCAACCCCGGAGCGCCAGAGGGCTATGCCACGCCCTAACTTCCGTTATCGTAATACATCTTACATCAAGTATTTGATCCCAAACTACTACTAGTGATAAAGACAAAGGCGTACCTCGTTGTACTTTACCTAATGTACTTCCGTATATCAAACCTAGTACCAATATCCAATACTCAACAAAGCATGGTCCAAAATCCAAACATCAAACAAGAAGCCACAATCTCACAGATGGGAAATATGATTGAAATATGAAAGTCAAAATCCTTAATTTACGGCCGTTTAATTTGGCTTAGTTGGCGGTTTGATGAAAACCGCCAAATTAAGCCTCCGCCAATTTTTGAAAAAATCCCCAGAACTTTTTGATCTCATTGAGAGTTCTTTCAATATTTTGAATGTAGCCCCATTTTTTACATTTTAGCTCGTATATGAACACACCCTGTGATCAGAAAAATCAAAACAATTAGTCTATACAATAACAAGGTACCAGAGTTTCTCGCAAGTAGGCCCATGGGCATTTATTTGAAAGATCTAAAGTATATTACTTTTCAGTTCACCCTACTCATCTTAGCTTTATCATTCGTTATACCTCCGCTTGGGGTTGTCACCAAAACGGGGATCATCCATGGGAAAATAGTATACTACTTGAGTTAATGCAAAGCTGGAGTAAATACATGTACATAAGAAAATCTTCAAATGTCCACAGGACATATGCCACATGGCATTGTGTTTATTGTTCACTTTCTCTCCTTTACAACAATGTTGAATTGCCCAGGTAGATTTGTTAATCCATGAACAAACTTGGTTGGGTCTGGATCTGGTGGGTTGTTTTTGTCTTCAGGGAGAATGTCCAGTTTTTGTAGTAAACTGGTGACAAACAGGAACATTCTCAGTTTGGCCATTGCTTCTCCCAAGCACTCTCGTTTACCAATTCCAAATGGTAGAAATCTAAGAAAAACAAAGTAAAACATAATAAAGACAACCCAGTCCTTTACACAAGCTCCGTAGGTTAATAAATCATAGCAGATATGTAAATGCAATTGAGAATACAAAGAGCGGAAACCTGAATTAACACATTTGAAATTTGTGTTTGTATGATCAGAGGTCATTAGGTCTGTTGCATCAGTACAACTTACGATTTTCGTTCATATGCTGACAGAAGTTTGCCATCATCATCCAGGAATCTTTCCACCTTGAATTCATATGGCTCATCAAAGTACTTCTCATCATGGTGTAAGGCCCATAGGTTCATCCAAACCTTGTCAAACAAATAACAATATTAATTTATTGAATTCTACAAGACATTGACTACAGATATCTGACAGTATTCCCCATCAGAAACAGATTTGAAATATCTTTAACTTAAACTTGCAGCTCTACCCATTATCCTTTTCTGTACACAGCCAATATAATTCGAAAACATTCGGCGCTGTTCCGGCACCGTTGCGGCACTGAAACCTTTCGACTTCAAAATTTGGCACCGGACTAGTCAGTCCATTTGGTGCCTAAATTGGACCGAAATTTGGCACCGAAACGTCGTCGAAAATCAGATTGCATTTTGGGGGTGTAGACAGGAATTTTCTTTTTACGTTTCTCTTACCATTGTTCCACATGGTACTTTGTAACCACCCACACTGGTGTCACATAGGGTTTTATGGGGGAGAGACAACGTCGTAGTTGTGCTGTAGCGAAGAATTTCCAGAACTGCAGCTTCTGAATATGGCATGTTATGCCTATCTGCAAAAGTTGGCAGTCGGCCATCACCGATGACATCATCAATTTCAGCTTGTATTTTTTTCTGGACGTCAGGTTTGTTGACCAAAATCAACAGAAATGCTTCCAAAGTTGTGGATGTTGTTATTATTCCTATTCAAAAAATACAAACACAATACTGTAGATACACTTGATTTGACGCATCTTAATTTGGCTGATTTGCTCAATTTCAAACATTGGCAGCTTTTTAATTTGGCGGAGTTGGGACTGAGCTAAGGTTTTATCATAGATCTGAAAATAAACATTTCAGATTCATGTGTTCTGCTTTCAGTAAGTCTTGGTATAGCACTGACATCCAAATAGGAAAATACTTACACAAGCGAAATAATTACATATTCCCTAGGGATTTTCCAAAATACATCTGAAAATTGGCGGATTTTTAATTTGGTGGATTTTTCCAATCCGCCAATCCATCAAATTAAAACCGTAGCCAAATTAAGTGTATCTACAGTATCAGGATTGCATTTCACAGAATCATGTACAGTCCATGTATTGGGTTTATTTTGATGAATGGAGATTTCAACTTACTCTTGACAAATTGCATAGGGTGACCATAACATTTTAATGGTAGATGGATTGATGCATAATAATTTAGAAAATGATAGTTTGAAAGTAGAAGAAAGAAAATAGTTTTACATATGGGATGAGAGGCTGACAAATACGTATGAACTACCTATTCAAAATGACGAGTGATTTGAAACAAATGTTCAAATTTTGGTTGGACTTGATACTTTGGGGAGTTGCCATTTTATAGTTTACCAGCTAAAAGAAGGTTCTGCATAACTCCAAAGACCTCATCTCTTGTGATGTCTCCTTGTTCATAATGTTGCTGCAGCACTTCGCTTACACTTCTAGACTTTTCACTGGGCAAGCTCAACTGACAAAAAATGACAAATGACATTAAAGGAATTTCCCTTGCCAAACCATTTCTCTCATGATATGGTAGCTGTAACCATATATGTACTTTCCATGTCTAGTAAAACATGGGGAAATGTTTTGATTTGGTCGATCATTAAAAAATGTAGCGTCTATTTCCAATGTCATTGACTCTCAACTGTATATAACAATGCAAGTCAGCTGACACTCTTACCTTTCAAAAGTATACTGGAACCTGATGACAAATTGGACTTTGAACCATTTCTTTGCTCAACAATGTAATTTTCAATAACAACTCATAAAAACTCTTCAGCCTTATTCGTTTTTAAACTGATGCCTTTTTCTTTTTTTCTTTCTCCAACCTTACCTTGTTCTCAGCTTTTTTCATCCAAGATGAAAACAATTTATCTCGCTTCACAACAAATTCCTTTAAAGTTTTGAAAGTCTCGTTTCCGAAGAATCTGAGCCAAGGAAATGTGTCAAGCTCAGCGCCTGGTCCTGATGGTGCAAGACTTTTACCGATCTCTACCATGAAATGTACGGAATGGAAGTCGTCTGAGTTCTCATCAATGCGTTCTCCAACCAGCTTAAATCAAAATATGTAAAATGTTTAAAAATATAAAAAATTAAACTCTTAAGGCTTCCTCTATGGATATAATGCATGAGTACGTATGCACTCATTCTTTAGATTTTTATTCTGGTCATGGTGTTTTCAACATGCATGAGGTTTACAAATTGGTCAATTGGGGCGTCATAGAAATGTCATTGATTGACTTATTAGCGAAGTGGTCAACTAACTTACCAGACTCGACATGATATTTGCTATGCAGTTAACGACAGTTTCTCGGGGGTCAAAGGGAGTATCACCATTACTTTTGAATCTCATAATGCAGTCTTGGATCTCATCAGATGCCAATAAAGCAATTCTGTCCATGCCGTCCCCAAATTGCTTGAGGCCTCGATGAGCAATTTTTCGAACTTTTTTCCAGCCATGAGACAAATCTCGGAATCCAATGTCTTTATCACCTCCAGGAGTAAAAAAGTTGAGCCTCCATGAATACGGTCGTCCTGCAAAATCCTCTGATAATAGGGCTTCTCTTACGACATCATTTTCATTCAACACAACGATTTCTTCATTGAATATTTGAATTTTAAAAACACCACCATATTTCTTGCTCCATTTGTGTAACTGGTCATATGGAGTTTGTGAACTAAGTTCAAAGGCATTACCAAATATGGGCACTCCTTTTGGACCTGGAATATCCAATCGTTTCAAAACCTTTTGTATAATCCACAATAAAATCAGAGAAAATATGAAAAGGATGACTGGCAGCATTTTGGATGCTTGTAAATCTCCGTCTTAGCCTTTCATACAAACTCTTATCTTTGTTGTTACATAGTTTATATAATTTTCAGTTATAAATTAACCCAAGAACAACATGCATTATGTTTTATAAGCACTCTACAGTTAAATTGTATGTGTTGAAACTTCAAATTACATGACAGATATTAACTCCTCCAAGACAATGAATTTGACAAACAGATTCGCTCAATATTTTGCTTTGCCACTGAAATAACATTTTTAGAATGTGTTTTAACAATTTTTTATAATACTGTACTGGTCCCGAAAATGGCTAAGGTGATAGAATGATAATATCAAACCCCTTGGCCCTGCATGTAAGGCATTGTAGACTAATTAATTTCAAAGATACAGTGTGAGACCCCCCTGTCCAAAAATTCTTTCTGAATCATGCAGTTTTCACCATTCTGAACACTTTTCAAGTGATTTTGGTTCAAAATGGCCAAATGTGAACCCCGGGAAATTTTTAAAGTCAATTCCCCTTGGCAAAAGCTGACTAAAGACCTGCGATCCTATACCTCCCACCCTCCCTGATATATTCAAACTGTCAAGACCTGTCAACAACACTAAAGAAGTGTACTATTTGTTTTCAGGAAATGGATGCAGATGAAAGGAGGAGGATGGAAGAAGAAAACAGAAGACTCCAGTCTATGCCAACATGGAAACGAAATCTTGTTTTGAAAAAACGAGATGGTTAGATACATCTCTGACATTTAAACAGTTAATATCAATCAAAATGTTTTTGACTGCATTTTGAATTCATAATAATGCGACACTAGAAAATTAAGGATTGTTCAGAATATTTTAATATGAAATGGATTGGACTATAGTGTGCTGCCACCTATTAGTCAACTGTGCTGCCATCTGTGGGTAAAAACTGAATTATGGACAGTTGTCATGGTAACTTTGTATACATACTGATAAAACCAGCTGGCAAAGATCAATATACGGATATGACTTTTTATTTAGTTTTATTTATTTAGTACAAATATATTAATTCTTTAATCCAAGGTGAAATTCTGAAACCTTCCTCAATTTTGAAATCCCAAATCGATTTTGTTACTGTGACTTCATCATTTCCATGGTAACTATGCATACAATATATATAGGGATTTTATGTTTAGCCTGTTACACAAGTACAGATTGGACAAGTCCAAATATTGTATGACAGGGCCAACCTTAAAATGTACAAAATTGTATTACAGGTCCAACCTTAAAATGTACAAAATTGTATTACAGGTCCAACCTTAAAAATGTACAGAATTGTATGACAGGGCCAACCTTGAAATGTACAATATTGTATGACAGGTCCAACCTTAAAATGTACAAAATTGTATGACAGATCCAACCTTAAAGCTGTTTATATTTCTAACCATGACATAACTCTAATGGAGGTGAATTCTGTTTATATCAAAGCAGTGTCTCTACTAACAATAATGTCTATCTAAATTTTATATTCATATACATAAGGGGAGATATAAAAATTGGTGAAAAGGAATGTTATATAGATTTCTATGTGCTATTATACATTTATCCAACATTTATTCACTCTTAGGTCAAGATATGATATTTTCCTCACTCTTGAGCTTTCACAATAAGAGTAAATAAATGGAAAGATATTGTGCTTACAAAATCGCAATTAGAGATATCTTATGTTAAATGATAATGTGTTATCTTATAAAACAGTAGTTAACAGTTTGCATGTATATCAGTACATGTGTCTATTTACATTTAAAAATGTAAACAATTAGAAATGTAAGTAATGATTATTATGCAGTCTGTTGACACTAATTTTGCAATCATTTTCTTAAATTTTTAATGTGATGTCATATGAAATCTAGGATGAATTGTATGATATGTTAAGGCAGTATCAAAATATAAATAGGTGAGGCAACTATAAATAGGCGAGGCAAATTTAAATAAGTGAGACAAAGAGGATATTTTAATTGCATGGGACATAATATTTACAATTTTAGTTGAAAAATATAAAGATATTTTCTCTGAAAGTTTTGGCAAGGGACTGGCTCATAGCTAGCTACACCAATTAGATGTTGATTTTAGTCTTAACCCTTTCCCGACATGAATATAAGAGGAAAATGTTGGCCCTGGTGACGGATAAGTAAGAGCAGTTTTTAGGGGAAAACTGAAAATTACCTATGCCCAGGAACCTATACCTTGAATTTAATCACTGAAATACATTTTTTAGTAAGGACTATTGTATTAGAGCAACTTGTCAAAAGGTGTAAAAATACTGAATAGAACTTGAGATATTATCATTTCATCGATGTGTATAAAGAAAAATTATGGTGCCAAAAGGAGCCTATCGTCCTGAAAGGTATTACATAATAGGGCTCCATATGGAGCCCATCGTCGTGAAAGGGTTAAAGTTTTCATTTTGTACTTATGTACTTTGATTTTAATGTAAAACAAGGGCCATCAAAACTCTCTAAATTGAGATACTTTGATAAATTTATAGGCATCAGTTAAAAGACACTCTGGCCAAAAGATGTCCACATTTTGAAGAATACCGTTTATTGAGGTGTTTACATAGGTTTACTCTATTTACACTATTATCCATAACAATGTACAGTATTTATCATTTCATCATTCAGTTTTTACATCAGATTCTGATGATAAGGTTTTAACTACTTGGTTGAAAGAAAGATGGCAGCGAGGTGGTCTATATGAATCATACTGCCATCTTTCTATCAATACAGAATCTATATTTTTAAATCTAAAGATTTTAGTGTTAGCGCCAAATGTTTTTGTATGTATGTTGTTCCCTGTTTTGGCCCAGGCCTTGCATCAAGAGAAAATTTTTGATTTTATCAAATTAAATGCTACATGTGCTAGCATGAATTGTGCACTCATTTTTTCAATTTGTGCTGACTTAGCATGAAAAAAGATGATCACTATTTCTGTATAGTTATTTTGGCAGTGTATACTAAAGGTTATAGCCCTATAAAATAAGAGTCTCAAATTGTAAGTCATCATTTCAATGATAAAACCAACATCACAAACTTACCAAATGAATTAATGCATGAGTATATTTTTATTTGGCCTAGAGATTTTGCTGTTAAAATATTGAACCAACCAAGAATTGTGTTAAGTTTATCTGCAAACATGAAAAATTATGTTAGCAGTATATAAATGTTTATTAATTTATGTACTATGTATAGGTACAGTGAATAGTAATACATCATAATAAAACATTAACAAAACTTGCATTGTCATGTTTTATATTTACCCTTTGCATTCGTTTGACTTCCATTTCCAGAAAAGAGCGGACACTTTCTTTATCAGTAATAGACCCGCTAATGTAGGAGAGCTGTCAACACAACTGATTAGAAGTGCTCCAAGCAGCTCTGTTGAAACTTGATGCTGTTTTCACCTCTAAAAAGATGTAGCCTTCTTGTAAATAAAATACAACCATCATTGTGCGCAATTCCAGAGCGAAATATATTATAAATAAGACTGAATATATACTATGTTGTGGCACATGTCCGAGTGTGTTTCTCATCATGTAATTTTGAAATTATTCTCTATTTTTTGAAGAAAGTGAGGGAATGCGCAAATCAGCATACACACTTTAATCAAAGGTGGTAGTTTATAGTCTGTATGAAATATCCTGCATTAAATCTCACGTATACTGTATACCAGTTCTTGAAATCAATTTAGTAGACTAAGTACATTAAGATACAAAGTGTACCAAAACAAACCAGACTGAAAAACAGCTGATTTTAGTCAAGGATTTTTGTGCATTATGAATTTATTATATAAATCGTCAAAACAACTAAAGCAATTAGTAAAACATTTTAGTGCATCAAACATCAACTTGGGTTAAAAAGTCAAATGCACCCATTATTCTAGCTATAAATTCAAATACAAAACGTTAAGATCTTGCACTGTTAGCCCATGACCTCCGAATCCCCATACATTTATGGAGCTTTCCTTGTTCTTTTCCCTAATTCTGTCATTTTGTGTGAATGTTTACTGGCGATCGAACATGTGAAGGAAGTTACTGTGATAGAATTAGGTCTCATGTAAAACTTAACTTAAACTGCAGGCATTGTTTATTACATTTATTCAGAATCAGGGACACAAGTTATTGAGTTACAGTGCCACTATGTATAACCTCAAAATCATCCAGCGTCTATGCTGCTAGCATGCTGTAATACAATACTCTGTACTCAGAGTAGCAGGCCCTAATAGTGAATGGTAGGAGAGGAGTATAAGTTTCACGGGTAACGATGCTAGCGATGATAAGCAATCTCAGTAATGGGGCAATTAGAAGATAAGCCAATGTCTGACTTTCTGTATGGATTTCTGGTTATGACTTCTTAAAAGAGAGCTTCGTCTGTAGTTTAACTAGACTCTGCACGCAGGGTATTTTATATTATAAGCATATTCCTCAAAATATTTCCAAACATTCTAAACTTGTATCTCAACTTAAACCCATCTGAATTGTGAAATAACTTTAAAAAAGTCACAAAGTCACATTTTTATAAAGTCGCTTGTATAGGAATCTAAATCTGAGATAGTGACTGAGTTCCAATGAGCGCATGTGCGACTTTTATGTTGAATATGGAAAATTTTAATGGTTTCGATTATTCACACAACGAGACATCCATTGATGATTATATTTAATTCAGAGAAACAAATACAGGAGTTGATAACAACTAAAAAGAGTATCAGCGATATTTTTCGAATTTTTTGTATGTGCGCTTATTGGAATATCTAACTATTTCCAGAATTTCAATAGTATAGTTTCTAAATAGCTAAATAAAGCTGAATAAAGCTGACATAATAGATGTCACCTTTGTTCATCTTGGGCCAACCTTCCTGTAATGATATCCAGTTTCTGGTATCATCTTGCTAACTGCCTTTGAGGTATTATGTTACTTGTACATGTGTGGGATTACAAATATACAACTTGGTCTTCTAAAGCTAGAACTTGTACTGTCCAGATCATTACATGGTACTGCGTGGTGAAATATTTAATAATACAATACAAAAAATGGATTATTAGCATAGAAAGGCCTAAAAATGATGATGAATAACATTCCGAAGCCAGAAAGGGTGGATTTCTCCAACAATTTGGAGAAACACTGGTTAAATTTCAGGAGTGAATTTGAGTTCTATCTAGATGCCCTTGGTGAAATCACAGACAAACAGAAGATAGGACTACTCGCTACCTGTGCTGGGCCCAAAGCCAGTCAACTGTTTAAGACATTCAAATTTGATAAAGATGAAGACTCTACAAATTATAAAGTTGTACTTCAACAATTTGACGCATACTGCATCCCAAAGCAGAATGAAACCTATGAACGTT